TATTTTATTTTATGCTTCTTTCCCTTTGTAGGCTGTCTAAAGCATTACTATTTTGTTTTATTCTATATTATGCTTCTGCCACTTTGTAGGCTATCTAATTTAAAGCACAACTTTTATTTTATTTTGTTTTATTTTATTTTATTTTACATGCTTCTGTCCTGTTGTAGTCTGTTTTGTTTTGTTTATTTTGTTTTTTTATTTTATTTTGTTGTATTTTATTCTGGCTATCTAAAGCACTACTATTTAATTTTTATTTTCATTTTATTATTGTATTTTCATTGTTGTTTTAGACTATTAGACCCCACTATATGCTGCTTACCTTTCAAGCACTTTATTTTGTCTCTGTCCACCATTTTACACTTTACACCCTTTCTTTTATGCTTTTTTCCAGTGGGGCATTTTCTGAGGTGGTCCTGGCCCAAGAGAAGGCCACAGGAGAGATGTACGCCGTGAAATGCATCCCAAAAAAAGCACTAAGAGGAAAAGAGAGCGGAATAGATAACGAGATTGCAGTGCTGAGGAAGTAAGTATTCTAAAAGCTCCCGGAAAAGACTTAAAATAACAAACCCAACACCCATTACATGCTTTACATAAGATTCTCTAGCTACAGACGAAAACCCTAAAGTTCAAAGGAAGCTGTTAGTGGGAGTTTGTGCTTTTCTCCTCAAAGCGGGAGATGACTCAGCCTTTACGACACACCCCTCACAGCCTCCTACCTTTACTGACTCCTACCTGTCCCTGTCAAAACCATTTGGAAGCATTTTAAAGGTTGTACAAATGATTCATGTGGCCTCCGCCACAGACCTCGCTATTCACTGCACGTTGAGGCCGAGCGCAGGTCCGTGGTTGTCATGGTAAAAAGGCGTTCAGGCAAGGAGGCGAGGCAATACGTTGGCGAGTAAAACTGCTGCAGCTGGATTGGAGATGGTCAGAATGATAGCAGAGACTGTAATGGTTGTTTAGCAACTTACATATGGGAATTCCTTTTGTTTTCATCATCTGCATGAATAAAATAGCTCAACATATCAGCCCAGAATGTATGCTATGGTGTACGGGAATGTGCAATCGGAACCAACGTCAGCCATCCAAAACAAAGCCTTCATAATCCACTCAAGTGCAACTCTGCTTCGTTGTAATTGATCAAATATTTCATCTGTTCTTTTCAGGATCAAGCATGAGAACATTGTGACACTGGAAGACATTTATGAGAGCCCCACTCATTTATATCTTATCATGCAACTGTGAGTAGAATCTGTTTGCTGCTTCCATTATTGCTTTAAGTCTGCTAAGTCTTTGAAACAGAACCAAACCATGTGAAGCTGGTTTGCGAGATGGAAAACGTAAAGTAATCTGTTCTTGTTGTGTCACTGTTGAATTTATTTGAATTTTAATCCAGGAAATTCTTCCTGTCATTCCAATTCACATTCCAATCCGACGTTCTGCGGGGCGTCCAACTCATGACTTGAAAGGAAGCCAATTCTTATTCTCATTTGTGTCCAAGGCTGCTGCAGTTGTTTGAGATCATTTTAATGACCTGAGCAACAGATGATTATGGGATTCTCCAACCATAATCTATATGTTGACATGCAAAATTTGCATTTTTTTGTTTTTAAACCCAGATTGGAATATTGAGTGTTTATTTTATTTTATTTTATTTTATTTATTTTATTATTTGATGGTTGTTGAATTGAATCACCTGAATAGTTTTTTTGCTTTGCTTTGTTTTGTTTTGTTTTGTTTTCTGTATGTTTTTTCCCCTTTGTTTTGGTTTGGTTTGCTCGTTATTTATTTATTTATTTATTTTTTGTTTTGTTTTTCATGCTGCTTGTTGACTCCAGGGGCCCGTTCTTCGTACGTCGCTTATTACATCCGAGATTAAATGTCACATCTAAGATGATATCATCGCACTAATAAGGATCTGGCATCTTGTTGATGATTAGTATGGCTGGATTGAGTAATCTGAGATAATTGCGTGTTCATGGGTTGGTTTTAAAGGGACTATGTATCGATACTCGAAACCATGATCAGCAATGCAGCGATTGTCTGGCGGCAAGACAGCAACGTAATGACATCATATAATTAAAAAAGACACCTGACGAGTGAGCAAAACTACATAAATGTTATAATAGTTTTTATTTTATTAAAATGTTTTACATGATTCCCAATTAGCCTATTTATATTCACGATTTCAAATTTTTGTACAGGCTTTACATTTTTATTTCAATGTAGCAATTAGCAATTCATTTAATTTTATATTTGAACAGATTTGTTACGTGACAGCATTAATTCAAGACTCTTAAGGGTCAAGATCATGTTATCTGCAACTCCTGCACTCCATCAAGCCACTCCCATAATATCTGTCACCACTCAAAATAATGCACGACTCTACATTATCTGTATAGCATGTGTGTAAGACTCGAATACAATTATGAAGTAATAATTTTATGACGAATAAATCTTTCAGTGAGTAAAACTGGCTGTGTCTATAGTATTAAAGACTACACAACATTATTATATTATATTTAAATTAATTTTTAAATGATTATTATTTTAAATTATTGTCCCTGGATTAGTAGGGTACTCTTGTAATAAAGTAGCGGTGGTAACGGACAGATTTTAAGTATCAGTTCTGCTAAAAAAGATGCGATCTAATCCTGTTTACATGAAATAAGCTGCTCCCGAGCAGGTTTAAGTTTACGGTCCTGTTGCTATGACAGCAACTCCGGGATGAGCTTCGAAGAACCAAATAATCCAAGATCATGCCAAATCATCAACAATCAAATCCAGCTAACCGAGTTAGCAACTTACGAAGAATGGGCCCCCGATATGCTATTGCTTTTCTAAACAATCAAATTTGCTATGTTCTGACTTGGCCCAGTAAACAAATACCTAGAATTTAACCATTATTTTATTTTGATAATTATTTAATTATTTTATTTTAATTTGAAAAGTGAATAAAAAAGTATGACGTACATAAAAAAAACTATAATGAAGTAGAAAACATACAGGACTGTTCAAATGTTTTTGTTTTTTCTGCAAGGAATGAATACTTTTAAATCATCAAGATTACATTACATTTTAGTGACAGTAAACCGTATTATATGTGACCCTGGAGCACAAAACCAGTCATAAGGGTCAATTTTTCTAAATTGAGATTTATACATCATCTGAAAGCTGAATAAATAAGCTTTCCATTGATGTATGGTTTGTTAGGACAATATTTGGCCGAGATACAACTATTTGAAAATCTGGAATCTGAGGGTGCAAAAAAAATCTAAATATTGAGAAAATCGCCTTTAAAGTTGTCCAAATGAAGTTCTTAGCAATGCATATTACTAATCAAAAATTAAGTTTGAATATATTTACAGTAGGAAATTTACAAAATATCTTCATGGAACATGATCTTAATATTCTAATGATTTTTAGCATAAAAGAAAAATTTTGACCCATACAATGTATTTTTGGCTATTGCTACAAATATACCCCAGCGACTTAAGACTGGTTTGTGGTCCAGGGTCACATATATACCTGTATATAATTTTCACTTTCCTTAATAACTATATTTAAAAAAAAACTTGTTAAAAACAGATTTTTTTTTTTCAGTGTGTCTGGTGGGGAGTTGTTTGATCGTATCGTAGAAAGAGGTTTCTACACGGAGCAGGATGCCAGCGCGTTAATCAAACAGGTTCTGGATGCGGTTAACTACCTGCATTCACTGGGGATAGTCCACAGAGACCTGAAGGTGATGATTTCCCTTGACTGATTTCCTTCACAGCAAAACAAATTGATGTACAGAGACGCGGGGCGGGGTGCGCGTGGCGAAACACGCACGCCAACTGTCATTGGCTTGTTTAGTTAACACTCGAAGGTGATTGGGCTCTCGGGCGAGATCCCAATTCGTCAGTCACTGACGTAACGTCTCCGTTCCCTCCTTCAGGGAACGAGGGTTACACAAGTAACCTAGACGTTTCTTTATACAGTATATAGGAATTTGGAACATGAGAAATGAAAGGTCACCGGACAGCGAACACTCACTTCCACTCCAGTGGAAACAAGACGACCGGTGTAAATAACTCCCTGTGACTTTTTAACCTTATCACCTACTCTCTCATCTCCTGACAGCCAGAGAATCTGCTCTATTTTAACCCACATGAAGAATCCAAGATTATGATAAGTGATTTCGGGCTGTCCAAGATGGAGGGTGCAGCCAATGACATCATGTCCACAGCCTGTGGGACACCGGGATATGTGGGTAAGACTGTCGATCCACTAAATATCAATGTGAATCTGCGCTGGATCTGAATATTTAATAAAATGATCATAGATTTAATTTTAAAACACTGTAAAAAGACTGTAAAAATGCTACAGTAAAAGCCTTTTAAGTGGTTTACGGTAAAGTCCTTTACTCTATACTGTGAAAAACTGTAATAGATCTATCTAACTTTGTGACAGCTCACATTTGATGGTTTTTCAATGAATGAACGTCTTCTACGTTTTTCTTATCATTTATGTACATTAGGGTTTTATGCTACATCTTATTTTATTGAATTCATATTTATTGCATCAGTTTAGTGTCATTTCACTTTACCACCTGTGTTTTAAGGTAGTTGCCAGTGTATTATAAAGGCAAAAAAAGTAATTTGGTATTGTAACATTATTTCACTTAATGAAAGATATATGTTTTTTAACCATAAATTTAAAACTTAAAATGTTGCTATGCTATTTTTAAGGTACAGTTCTGGCAACCACAGATTATTTATTTAACTGTATTATTATTATTATTTTTTACTGTAAATTTACTTAATACTTAAAGGAATATATCATGCAAAAAAGAAAATTTGATCATTTATGCACCTTCATGTGTTTCAAATCCATATGCTGTTATTTCTACGTTCATATTTTCCATATCCATTTACTATTTACTAACAAATAAAACGATTTCTATGCAAATTGTAGGCTATGAAGTGACCATGTCTGTCAAGTCCAAAAATGCACATTAAAAGTGGTTAGAAAAATCAAATTAGGAAAAATATGGTTTTGAAATGACATTCATGAAGGCTTGGTTCCGCCACAGGATGAAAAAATAAATAAATGACTTTTTATCTCACAATTCAGACTTTTTTCTCACAATTGTGAGTCAACATCTTGCAATTGTTGAATTTTCCTCAAAATTGCAAGTTTATATTTTGCAATCCTGACATGATGATCAAAATGATGATCAAATTTGTTTTGGGGTCAATTATCCTTTAATTACCCTTTTACACTTTATTAAATGTATCATTTCATTCGGTTTCTCTCTCTTTTATTACTTTAGCTCCAGAGGTATTAGCACAGAAGCCTTACAGCAAAGCTGTGGACTGCTGGTCTATCGGAGTTATTGCTTACATCTTGTGAGTATTTTTTACCACATGTGATACACATTTGGCTTTTTTCCAAACTATTTTTACATTCATTATCTTGAAAAGAAGACTTTAGGTTAAAATACTGACCACTGTTGTATCCTCAACCTCCTCAGGTTGTGTGGATACCCTCCGTTTTATGACGAGAATGACTCCAAACTGTTTGAGCAAATACTGAGGGCAGAATACGAGTTTGATTCCCCGTACTGGGACGATATTTCTGATTCAGGTGTGTATGGCGTTGGAAATCACTGCGAAGTGAATCATATATTATAGTTAAACAGACAAAAATGAAAATTCTGTCATCATTTACTCACCCTCATCTCATTCCAGAGCACAAAAGAAGATATTCTAAAGAATGTTGGTGACTCATTGGGTCCCATCGACTTCCATAGTATTTTTGTCCATACTATGGAAGCTAATCGGACCTGAAACGGATTAGTTTCTGAGAATTTTCATTTTTGGGTGATTTATCCCTTTAATGACGTAAGCTCTTACATTTATTCGTTGACACCCTTCTTCACCTCTTTTTGTCTCTTAAATGCCATCATTAAGTATGACTTGGGTTGCTTGTGTTTTCTTGTCTCTGACAGTCACGACTTTGTTTTTTCCCATGAGCAACACTTTAATGAGGGTTTTTCAAAAGTAAGACTGATGTTTTGCAGCCAGATATAAATCAACAGTTGAAAAGCATTATCTGGCGCTGGGCGAATCGGCATCGTTTGAAAATAACAACTCAACACCCACACCACGAGCGGTTCTCTGGTGTCTGGGGAAGTGTAGGAGGGTGTCATTTTTTCACAATTAGAACTGCGCCCTTGTGTAACTGATTCAGGTTTCTTTATTTTCACATTTGTGTTGTTTCATAGCTAAAGACTTCATTAATAACCTGATGCAGAAAGATCCAGAAAAGAGGTTCACTTGTGAAGAGGCTCTTCGGCATCCATGGTGAGCGACCAGGAATATAGACACAACGTCTTCACGGCCTTTCTCATGAAAAACCCTGGTGTAATATCAGTTGCTGCAGGTTTAAGCTTTTAGTTGCTCTCAGTAACATTAAGCATATTTCTCTGCTTCCCTAATGCTCATTACTGAGTTCAAATGTTTTCCTTTTGAGTTTGAAATTCATTATTCCCAATACAATCAACATAAATTAAACATGTTCACACCATGATGCATGGATACTTTTAAATATTATATCAATTCAAATAATATAGACAGACTTTGTGTAAATTAGGACACTTTTTTTGTGATTGAATGACTGGGAAAAATGGCCCAATCATCCGTACTGTGTTATATTATACTATAATATGATCATTATTTACATGCATTACAGTAATGAGACCTGGGGACAATCTACTTTTTTGTCATGAAATTGTCACACTGATAAATAATACGATGAAAAATAATAATAGTATAAATTAGGCCTTTTTTGCAAATTAAAAGTGTTATATACTATGCAATCATTTATATGCACACTAAAGTTAAAAAATTTGGGGAGATTTTCAGTAAGATTCAGTAAGTTTTTCTTTTTTTTTTTTTTTTTTAAAGAAATTAATAATTTTATTTAGCAAGGAGGCATTACGTTTACCAAAAAAGTGATAGTAAAGGCTTTTATAATTTTACAAAATATCTATATTTCAAATAAATACTGTTCATTTGAACTTCCAATTTATCAAAGAATCCTGAAATGGCACAAATTTAGCATATTAGAATGATTTTGTGACACTGAAGACTGAAGTAATGCTGCTGAAAATGTAGCTTTGCATCACAGGAATAAATTACATTTTAAAATATATTCAAATAAAAAGGTTATTGTACATGCATTTTAGATCAAATAAATGCAGTCATGGTGAGCATAAAAGATAAATATATATAAATCTTACTGTATCTCATATATATAATTACATATTTTATATAATATTAGTTATTATATTGCAATATTATATAATAATATTGCAATAACCATAATTACACTCACCTGATGTAATTGAGCACAACAGCATTATTATAGTGAACTAAAACTAAACTAAAACCATAAAAAGTTAATTGAAATAAAATAAAGTTTATTTTATTTTATTTCAGCTAGTGACAAGCTTTTCAACTTGATATACTAAAATCAGTCAAACTAAAACTGAAATACAAATGAATAAAAACTATTGGGTTGTTTTGAACCCAACCGCTGGGTCAAAACAACCCAATAGCTGGGTTTGTCCCTTTTTAACCCAGCGCTGGGTTATATTTAACCCAGCATTTTTTAGAGTGAAGCTTATTTTTTTTATATTTTCCATTTTTTGTAAATTTTTGTCTGTACAGTTTTTATTCATTTGTATTTCAGTTTTAGTTTTACTGATTTTAGTATATCAAGTTGAAATGAGAAGTGTCACTAGCTGAAATAAAATTAAATTAATTTTTTATGGTTTTAGTTTAGTTTTAGTTCACTATAATAATGCTGTTGTGCTCATTTACATCAGGTGAGTGTAATTATGGTTATTAGGTAATTAGGCATTACTTCAGTCTTCAGTGTCACAAAATCATTCTAATATGCTAAATTTGTGCCATTTCAGGATTCTTTGATAAATTGGAAGTTCAAATGAACAGTATTTATTTGAAATATAGATATTTTGTAAAATTATAAAAGCCTTTACTATCACTTTTTTGGTACAACAATAGCTGGGTCAAAACAACCCAATAGCTGGGTTTGTCCCTTTTTAACCCAGCATTTTGTTTTAGAGTGTTCAAAATATTAATGAAACAATAGCATCTCAGTGATGCAATGTATACTCCTATATGGTCACATATCATAAGACTCTGCCTCCTCATGGATGCTGGATGATACTGCAGGAAGTCCAACCGCTGACTTTCTTCTGCTTGCAGGATAGCTGGTGATACTGCGCTCTGTAAGAACATCCACGAATCAGTCAGCCGACAGATGAAGAAGAACTTTGCCAAAGCTAAATGGCGAGTAAGTGACCACTTCCTTTCCTCCTTCAGAGAAACTTTACTTTGAACAACATGTAAGAAATAGGAAATTCTGTATTCTCTATATTCTTCTCTCCTCACAGCAAGCGTTCAACGCTACCGCAGTGATCAGACATATGAGGCGTCTTCAGCTCGGCAGCAGTATGGATTCCTCTCAACACAGGAAGCAGAATCCAACATCCATGCCAGGGAAGAGTCAGTCGGTCGATGTTTCCTCAGTCCACCGCAACGACTGTAAGTTTTTGCCTTAATACTTTATACTTCATGAAACTCACAACTCACAAGACTTTTGCTGACCAACTTGATTGACTCATCACCAGTGATGTGCTTTTTGTTGTATTATGTCGTATTGTCCAACAGCCCTTGAAGAGGGTGTTATCTTTGTCTAGGTTCTTCCATGCAAGCGGCAAACTCTTCCTCGGGGACGCCCGAGCGGCACACACGGCCATCCACGGTCACTACCATCATCACTGGCTCCAAATGACATCACTTCCTGTCAGACTGCTCACTTGACTGTTGCACTTAGTGGAAAGACGTGTTTTCTTCTATTTAACGATAACTTCCTTTGTCCACAGTCGAACCAGTTTTTCTCAGACGCTTGCAGAAAAAGGCGTCCCAAAACATAGTTACTGGGTTAATCTTTTTCACGTTTCCTTGGTTGGTAGATGCACCGGGGACCTGATTATAGCACTTCAAACCTGGAAAAGTCCGATTTTCATGATATGTCACCTTTAAACCAATAGCCAGGTTTACTGTCATCCAATACGTATGAACTTGAAATTCGGTCCTGGATGCCTCTGGCATTTATTAATGAGAGAATGAAGGATGTGAATATTGCATAAACAAACGGAATTGTGCAGTTTAATGGTTTTATCAGCAATTTGTTAATATCAGTGAAAGAATCTGGAGTGATTTGTGTGTCAACTGTTTTTGGAGGTATGAAAGGGTGGCGAAAAGCACTTTTTAAAAGTGTTTTGTGTATGTTTTGGATTTATTTTGTAAGCTTTGCTTTTTTAAAACGACTCTTGGTCACACTTTACATTGCAGTGATTATGTTGCGCAGTGTAAATTCAAGTATTTATTGCTATTGCCACTCAAATTACTATTATTAATAGTACATTATTATTAAATATATGTAATAAAGACACTGTAATGTAAACTGTTATCATGATTTTGTTCTTTTAATTGTGTTTTAATGAGAAGATTGATGAACGCTTGTCCAATAACGTGTTTGTTTTATCACAGCTCGATAGGAAAAGTACCAGCTTCAGTGACGGTTATTAGTATTTGCTGATTTTGTGTTTCAGTGAAGCGAAAAACGACTAGAATTTCACACATTGTCGAGTGTACGAATACAAACATGCAGTTTTCCAGTTTAGCTGAAGCCGTTTTGATATGCTGTGTCCACTGATATACGACCGTGAGAGATTCAAACAGTTTCTGCTCTCAATCTTGCATGTCTTCATACCGGCCCTCTGAATTTAGCAGCTGAGTGCTGGTTCTTTCAATCAGGGGACGCAGAAATGATGTAAGCAGTGTTTTCTCTTTAGTAGATTTGTTCTGTGGTGAGTGTATGGTTTCACATTTTCATTAAAGACCAAGATAACAAACACTAGTTTTATTGTTGTCCAGACTCATTCAAAACTAAAAGAACTCTATTTTTTGTATTAAATGTAGCACTTTACATTATCCCAGCACAAAACGAATACAAATCGGGTTAAATTCTTTGAAAAATAATACTCATTAACAAGACTGTTACAGATTTTCTGTAACTTGTGCAATGACTTTTGTCATTATAGTGTGTGTGACGAAATGTACAATACATTTTAAACTAGCCATAAAAATAACCAAGTTATTAGTAGAGTAAGGGTTATAAAAGCCTATGAATAAATGTACATCTTTTTAGAGAACTATTATACATGGATTACATATGCTCTGCATGCATAAATACACATAGGCCTATAAGGCTACGTTCTTTTGCGCTATTGTGTGCTTGTTTACTGCAGACATTGTGCCAAAACGCCTTTACAGAAATATGCTGTAAAGTACTGTAAAGCTCTGTACCCGTTCTCCTGTAGTTATCCTCTGTTTTAGACCGTGTGTCGGTTGTACTCGTAAGATGGGTCAAGGCCGTCGTAGTGAAACTCTCTCCACTGCTCTGTCTTCTCTCTGGTGCGCTCGTCTTGCTCTGGAGAAGAGTAAAAATGAAGGAATTTTGATTTTAACTCTGTATTCAGATATTTACACACAGGCCTACAGAGTACCAGATATAATATGTGTAAATATTTGATGCTATACTGCACTAACATGCCCATGTACGTGATTAGCATGTATACTGTATAAACATTAAAGGCAGACATGTTTAAATAAAGGTTTATTACATGCTGTTAGTGTTGTATTATGTTACATATGATAACTGAATATGAAAATAGCCTATTCTATTATATAAATTATTTATAGATAATCCTTTTCAGTCTATTTTTTCCCATTATATTTAAAAGTGTAGGCAAGATGTTAAAACCATATTAGAGTAAATAATGGCAGAATTGTATTAAATTAAACTAAAAATGATTTTTATAAAAAAAAAATGGTAAAACTTTGAAATTATTAAATACGGCATGTTACAATAAATAAATGAACATTAAAATAAAGGGATAAGTAAATAAACAAATGTATTTATTAAAGACATGAAATACCACCTGAAATTAAATATGCCTTAAAATGAAAAACCTCATGAAAATAAAACAATATGAAACAAATCTATCACAAAATAACTGAATGCATAATGAAATGTTGTAATCATGTCTAAAGAAAAGCCAGTACAAATAAATAAGTTGGGCGTGAAATGTATTTACGTGACATGAAACATGAAAAGTAATCTTAAAATGAATTTAAAATGTAGTTAAGATTAAATATAATATATAATTCATTCCATTTTTAATATGTATTATATTTATTTATAATACGTTTTATTAAGTCATATAATCTTGTTTTGTTGTTGTTGTGCTTAATTAGATTTGGTAAACCTGTTTTGTAAAACCCTACAAGGTTCAGCTATGTTTATGCGTAATCCTGTTTACTTGGATGAATGATCTCAGAACGCTACTAACACTGCTTGATCCAATATGGCCGCCAAGGTGAATGATTTGAGTTTGCTCGCTGTGTAGACTCACCGTCGTGCTCCTCTTCAGCGTAACTCTCAAACTCATTTGTCTGTTCCTCATGATACTCCCTCCTTCTCGCATCTGCAGCCAGCCTCTGTCTCTGCTCAGCTAATAAGACAACAAAATGTGAGAGGAAGAAAAAGAGAAAGAAATAAAATGAGAAATATGCTAATGATAAGATTCAGAAGAGCTTTTAACATTTTTTGTTGTTGTTGTTGAATCATATTTTTATTATACCATATTTTAACTAAATACGATTTATCCTCACTTCATGATATAAAATACACAGTTCAGTTTCACTATTCATAAGGAAAGGCTGTTTGTGATTACATCACTGTTTGTATTACATACACTCTAAAAAATGCTGGGTTAAATACAACCCAGTGCTGGGTAAAATAGGGACAAACCCAGCAATTGGGCTGTTTTGACCCAGCGGTTGGATTAAATGTTTAACCCAACCATCTGGGTAGTAACCCAACCGCTGGGTCAAAACAGCCCAATTGCTGGGTTTGTCCCTATTTTACCCAGCACTGGGTTGTATTTAACCCAGCATTTTTTAGAGTGTAGGCTAATAGGATCACCTGATTTGGTGTGACAGGAGCAGCTAATTATAAACCCCCAAAGCTGCATTCTAATTAATATTATTTTATTGTAAGTCCAAAAAAATTATCTTGTCCAGATCCTCTCCTCACCATTTGAATACACAGTCTTGAATTCCCACAGGTGAGTCAAACATTATTTTTGGTGAGCCCATAACCATAAACTAACAATCTCAGACCAGGTCTAAGCCAAATGAAAGGCTTGAAAAAACAGCAGAGCCCCTCCTCCGGCACTGGCAGGAGTTGAAGACTGAAGGCTGGTTTTCTCCAGCCTGCCCTGTGGTTCCTGCTATGTGCTGCGGTTCACCGCCTTTACATTCCTCAGCTGGCTCAAAACGCAGCACCTGTGTGGCCAGTGCTAGCCACGACTAAAAGGGCTCTTTATTTGTTGTTTTACACTAGCAAACCTGACCAAACAGTCCTAGAAGCCACAAAAGTGACGTGATTGATGACAATTTACTTCAAATTGTGACTTTTTTTTTTTTTTTGGTTTAGTAGTTTGTGGTCAGTAAGATTTTTGTAATGTTTTTTGAATGAATTCTCTGTAAAAAATGACCGTGAATTTAACGGTAAAAGACTGTAAAAATGCTACAGTAAAATCCTGTTAAATGGTTAACGGTAAATTCCCCTACTATATACTGTGAAAAACTGTATTGGACATTACATGTATTGGACATCAATTTTACGGTAGTATACCGTTTTTGGAAGTGAAAAATACCGTATAATTTACAGTGAATAACCGTAAATTGACATTCCCAGAATTCCCTGCGTTACATTTCAAATTTGATGTTGAAATAACTGTTTCTTCTTAGTTTTGTCTTATAAGTTTTGTATATTAGGGTTGTGTGTTACACCTAATGTTGTTAAATGAATGTTTATTGCATTATTTCAGTTTCATGTGTGTTACCATGATGGTGTTTAGTGTTTGTGTGAATGACACTGTGCACCTTCTATATATGTTATTATTTAAAAGCTGCTTGTGATGGGCTTTGGTTCATCATGTGACTTTCTCATCACCTCCTGCATTTGGTGGTTATCAGTGTATTACAAAGGTACAAAACAGATTTCAGTACTTTAATAGGTTGGTATATTAACATTATATCAGTTAATGAAATTACGGTATTTAACTGTAAATTTAAGTTAAAACCGTAAAACCTAAAACGTTGCTACCGTATTTTTTACGGTAAAATTCCGGCAACCACAGCTGCTGGTTTTTTACCGTAAATTTTACGGAATTTTTTTTACAGTGTAGCGTTTATATATATAAATTTTTATTTTGTATTATTATTCATATAAAAACCCCATTTGTACTCAGTCTCTCTAAATCAAACGTTCTGGATTGTCCATTGTAGTTGACAGTTGCTCAAGGGGTTGCGCTTGAATTGACATAATGAGTTTTCACATAAGCACAATTTATAGCCTCACCGTTTATCTCATCTTGAGTTTTCACAGCCCTCTTTCCTCGCCGTTTGAAGAAGCTGGAGGCATCTGCCTCTTGCATGAAGATCTTCCTCAGTGCACCTTTGGTGAAGAAGAACATTGATGAGGGGTAGAAACTCTTGACAAAGATCTACAGCAACATTGTGAAGGTCTTTGGTCACCTTGAGGACTGGCTGCCTTCTTATCGGACACAGCGGCGCTGTCGGCTCCATGGAACACTGTAACAGAGAAAACACGGCTGAGGTAAGTCCAAAAGATTTGCCACCCTTTCCAGGGACTATATGGTTCCCCACATTGGTAAATCAACACTTCCCTTGGTCAGCACAGTAAACCACGGTCTGGTTACTCACAGGTGATGACGGACAAAACAAAGAGACAGGTGAGAAGAAGAGGTCGCGTCCAGGACATTTTTAGATTTAGCCGTGCAAGAGCAAAGAAAAAGCTGCTGATGTTCTCAGGGACGTCCTGCCTGAGATTGGTGATTGGGCTTGTGGTGGTGAGAGCAGTGAATGGAATTTGACCAGGAGGGTGAAGGAGGGGTGGAGTCTTGGGAACGTGTTGTTTTTGAGGTGGGGGTGGCACCAGAAAGGAAAGGTGGCAGGGATCGAGCTCTGCAGGATCTCACTTGAAATGAAGATATGACATGGAATGGGTGCAGTGTTTTTTATTTTTTTGGCCTAATGACGTTTTTTGGCAAGACATCACTGCATTGGAAATGTATTAATAACACTCTTTTTTTTTAAGGAATATGGGTTACAATAAGGTTCCATATTTGTTCGTTAACTACATTAGTTAACATAAACTAGCTATGAAAATAGCTTGTAACGACTTTATTAATCTCAGTTCATATTAATTGCAACATTTACTAATACATTATTAAAATTCACTGTTTTATTTGTTAATATTAATTAATGGACTTGAACTAACAATCAACAGTTATGTTTTTGTTAATTAACGTTCACCAGGATTAATAAATACTGTTAATGTGTTAATTAATGTTAACTGATGAACCTTATTGTAAAGGTATTTTGTGGCATAATGTTGACTAGAATATTTATTTATTTATTTATTTATTTTTAAGAATACATTGTTTTCTTTACAAAAAAAAGAGGTTATGGTGGGGAACTTGCAATGGAAGTGATTGGGGCCAATTTTTGGAAGTATTAAAATCAGAAATGTGAAGCTTATAATTTTTATAAAAGCACTTACATTAATTCTGTTGTTGAAACTTGTGTATTGTTTGAGCTATAAACGTGTCATAATTTTTACAGTTGTTTAGGTGTTATGTTGTTATGGCAATGCAAATTGTAAAATTGGATATAACTTAATTTTTGAACTTTTAATTCTCATCATTGTGTTAGTAAGTGATTTTCACATTAAAATCATGTTAACATACAGTGGGGCAAAAAAGTATTTAGTCAGCCACCAATTGTGCAAGTTCTCCCACTTAAAAAGATGAGAGGCCTGTAATTTTCATCATAGGTATACCTCAACTATGAGAGACAAAATGAGAAAAAAAAATCCAGAAAATCACATTGTAGGATTTTTAAAGAATTAATTGGTAAATTCCTCGGTAAAATAAGTATTTGGTCACCTACAAACAAGCAAACTTTCTATTGACATTCCCAGAATTCCCTGCGTTACATTTCAAATTTGATGTTGAAATAACTGTTTCTTCTTAGTTTTGTCTTATAAGTTTTGTATATTAGGGTTGTGTGTTACACCTAATGTTGTTAAATGAATGTTTATTGCATTATTTCAGTTTCATGTGTGTTACCATGATGGTGTTTAGTGTTTGTGTGAATGACACTGTGCACCTTCTATATATGTTATTATTTAAAAGCTGCTTGTGATGGGCTTTGGTTCATCATGTGACTTTCTCATCACCTCCTGCATTTGGTGGTTATCAGTGTATTACAAAGGTACAAAACAGATTTCAGTACTTTAATAGGTTGGTATATTAACATTATATCAGTTAATGAAATTACGGTATTTAACTGTAAATTTAAGTTAAAACCGTAAAACCTAAAACGTTGCTACCGTATTTTTTACGGTAAAATTCCGTCAACCACAGCTGCTGGTTTTTTACCGTAAATTTTACGGAATTTTTTTTACAGTGTAGCGTTTATATATATAAATTTTTATTTTGTATTATTATTCATATAAAAACCCCATTTGTACTCAGTCTCTCTAAATCAAACGTTCTGGATTGTCCATTGTAGTTGACAGTTGCTCAAGGGGTTGCGCTTGAATTGACATAATGAGTTTTCACATAAGCACAATTTATAGCCTCACCGTTTATCTCATCTTGAGTTTTCACAGCCCTCTTTCCTCGCCGTTTGAAGAAGCTGGAGGCATCTGCCTCTTGCATGAAGATCTTCCTCAGTGCACCTTTGGTGAAGAAGAACATTGATGAGGGGTAGAAACTCTTGACAAAGATCTACAGCAACATTGTGAAGGTCTTTGGTCACCTTGAGGACTGGCTGCCTTCTTATCGGACACAGCGGCGCTGTCGGCTCCATGGAACACTGTAACAGAGAAAACACGGCTGAGGTAAGTCCAAAAGATTTGCCACCCTTTCCAGGGACTATATGGTTCCCCACATTGGTAAATCAACACTTCCCTTGGTCAGCACAGTAAACCACGGTCTGGTTACTCACAGGTGATGACGGACAAAACAAAGAGACAGGTGAGAAGAAGAGGTCGCGTCCAGGACATTTTTAGATTTAGCCGTGCAAGAGCAAAGAAAAAGCTGCTGATGTTCTCAGGGACGTCCTGCCTGAGATTGGTGATTGGGCTTGTGGTGGTGAGAGCAGTGAATGGAATTTGACCAGGAGGGTGAAGGAGTCTTGGAGTCTTGGGAACGTGTTGTTTTTGAGGTGGGGGTGGCACCAGAAAGGAAAGGTGGCAGGGATCGAGCTCCTCACTTGAACACTTGAAATGAAGATATGACATGGAATGGGTGCAGTGTTTTTTATTTTTTTGGCCTAATGACGTTTTTTGGCAAGACATCACTGCATTGGAAATGTATTAATAACACTCTTTTTTTTTAAGGAATATGGGTTACAATAAGGTTCCATATTTGTTCGTTAACTACATTAGTTAACATAAACTAGCTATGAAAATAGCTTGTAACGACTTTATTAATCTCAGTTCATATTAATTGCAACATTTACTAATACATTATTAAAATTCACTGTTTTATTTGTTAATATTAATTAATGGACTTGAACTAACAATCAACAGTTATGTTTTTGTTAATTAACGTTCACCAGGATTAATAAATACTGTTAATGTGTTAATGTTAACTGATGAACCTTATTGTAAAGGTATTTTGTGGCATAATGTTGACTAGAATATTTATTTATTTATTTATTTATTTTTAAGAATACATTGTTTTCTTTACAAAAAAAAGAGGTTATGGTGGGGAACTTGCAATGGAAGTGATTGGGGCCAATTTTTGGAAGTATTAAAATCAGAAATGTGAAGCTTATAATTTTTATAAAAGCACTTACATTAATTCTGTTGTTGAAACTTGTGTATTGTTTGAGCTATAAACGTGTCATAATTTTTACAGTTGTTTAGGTGTTATGTTGTTATGGCAATGCAAATTGTAAAATTGGATATAACTTAATTTTTGAACTTTTAATTCTCATCATTGTGTTAGTAAGTGATTTTCACATTAAAATCATGTTAACATATTTACATGATGTGGCATTATCTTAATTAGCAAATGCCACATGTTGTCTTAATTTGCTTTCTGATACCAAAGTCTTAATTGTACCCAACTACCTTATTTTACACTTTACGTTTCCCTTTATGTCCAACCCCTGTAATATTCTAACCCTAAATAATATTCCCCCTTATGAAAATACGAACATTTCAGCAAATTATTTCAAGACATGTTTCTGGCCCCAGAGCTTTAAAATATGTAGAGTGCTTTGCACCTGAGGGGTGTGATCCAACACAAGGGCCTCCTCTCATGCCTCATGCCCCAGGCTGGAGCAAACGTCTGAGGTTCTGTGTTTACTTAGGGTTTTTTTTTTTTTTTAGCTGGAGTCTAGCCAACAGCAGGACATAGCGAATGATGAAATTGTGAGGGCCTGTTTCAGAGAGTCCGGGGCCTGGAGAAACTGAGATGTGAGAATATGTAAAGGAAATACTTTGAAAAAGACATACAGTGTGTGTGTGTCAGGGGTGCCCAAACTCGATCCTGGAGGGCCGGTGTCCTGAAGAGTTTAGCTCCAACCTCAATTAAACACACCTGAACCAGCTAATCAAGCTCTTAATAGGCATACTAGAAACTTGAAGGCAGGTGTGTTGAGGCAAGTTGGAGCTAAACTCTGCAGGACACCGGCCCTCCAGGACCGAGTTTGGGCACCCCTGGTGTATGTGGTTGAATGGATGACAGAGAGAAGAGTTTTGAAGATGCTGCCAGAATATGTCACACTTGCCTGCTTAAAATATTCCTCACTGTCACCGGGCAGTCGTAAACATGCCAAAATTGCCACCTTTTTCTGTCCCTCAGAGTCAAGGCTGTGTCACTGGATAATCTTTGAAGTTGCTGATGCATTGTAGACTTTGTGGAAGCTCAATATAGACATTAAATGGTTATTGAATCTTTGTTGTCAGGGTATTTTGGTCACTGAATTCATTAAAAATGCAAATAATATTAGTTTAGGACTGATAGTGCCAACAGCCACGCTCATTCACTGTCTGTCCTGGAGGGAGCGCCAACTGTCTAGAATGACCTGCTTCTTTATTGAAAGCTGTCTCAAAAAGGATTGAAACAACATAAATTAATGAATTTATTTGGGGAAAAAGTAAAAAATGTAAATTTTAACGTGAATTAGCATTGTGTTTTTCCTCATTGTGGGACATTTAACAGCTGTAACACCCCACAGTTGGCCCAAAACTGTCATGTCTAGCCTTTAGCCCAAAAGTTGACATGGTTTTATACAGTTCAGCATTGCAGAAGATTAATTTATTTTAACATAAAAGTAAATATACCTGCTATGCAGAAAATTTGACGCAAACATTTTCACATGCATCTCACAAACAGCCCATTTTTAATGGAGTTTATCTATCTATCTATCTATCTATCTATCTATCTATCTATCTATCTATCTATCATTCTATCTATCAATCTATCTATCTATCTATCTATCTATCTATCTATCTATCTATCTATCTATCTATCTATCTATCTATCTATCTATCTGTCTGTCTGTCTGTCTGTCTATCGTTCTATCTGTCTGTCTGTCTGTCTATCTATTGTTCTATCGATCATTCTATCGATCATTCTATCTATCTATCTATCTATCTATCTATCTATCTATCTGTCTGTCTGTCTGTCTATCTATCATTCTATCGATCATTCTATCTATCTATCTATCTATCTATCATCTATCTATCTATCTATCTATCTATCTATCTATCTATCTATCTATCTATCTATCTATCTATCTATCATTCTATCTATCATTCGTTTCTCTATATATATTGCATTTTATATTTAAATTAGGAAAAAAATAACAGATAGATAGTTAGATTATAGATAGAAGCAATTTTTTTTAATTTAATATAAATATTTACCAAATGATATGTTATTATCAGTATAACAATTACAGTGATCCTGTATTAAATAATATTACATTTGTAAACAAAATATATATATATATTTTTGCAATGTATGTTTATTTCTGTTGTTGATGCCAAAATTGTACAGTCTGTTGACTGATAGATTCTAGTCTTTTTGACAAGTGTATTGTAACACAGAACCTTTGGTGCAGAGATAACGTATTCAAACAGCACCATGTACTCTGTCTTCTGTGATAAAGGAGGGGTCCACAGAACAGTTTTTGATTGGTCCATTGTGTTTTGTGTACACCACCTAGTGAAGCAATCTGCATCGCTGATCGCACTCCTCAGGTACCGGCCTGTGGTTGTTCAGTCCAACGTGATGCCTCGTTTCACAGTCCATGTTCGGGACGAGTGGCTAACTGTTCCATGCAAAGATGCCACCTGCAGCATTAAATGGTTGGGTTTTGAAGCTCTCAAGCGCTACATCAAGAACAAACCCGACAATGGAGGGATCCAGCATATCAAAGATGTGCGTTTTGTGGTCAGAAGATGTCAGGGATTGGGCTTGCTGGACAGTGACGATACCGTAGAAGACGTGCTTGAGGATAATGACTTTGTTGAACTTGGTAAAGTTACAAATATGGCTTACTTGTTCAGTGTTTGTTGAGAGAGTGATCAATCATTCAGTTCTTGGCTGGCTTTGGACAGATTGTTCTTTGGAGAAATATTGAATCTTGTATTGCAAGATGAGTCAATAACATGTTATTTTACTGTTATCTTCAGCTATTGAAGGGGACACCATGTCACAAGATTTCATTCCAAGTCAGCCTGGGACGTCACATCTGTATCTTTATATTGACAATCTTCATGTTTTAATGGAATAAAGTATATTGTGTGCCAAGTAATTAATCAAAGTAGTTGCAAATAATCACATAATAATCACATCAGTTTTTGCTGAGAAAATCCCACAAGTAAGATCATTTAAAGACATTATATAAAATGCGGACCTGGAAAGTTGTACTTAACACTTCATTTCTTTGATGAGAAAAAAAAAATCCATCTTATTTTAATTAATTTTAAATACAATTTTCTTATTTTTTTGGTGCACTGTATAGCATTTTTGAAATTGATTGCACTAAAAGAATGCATTAAACTGATTTATAAATATATATATATATATATATATATATACCTTTTACTTCATCACGTATATAACATTCCACCCAGTCTCGCATTTGGAATCATTAGTTTATTTTTTTACAAAATACAGACTTGCATGTAAATGATTGTTATATCTTTTGGAAAGTCTCTCAACAGCTTTTAGCTATTCAGTTCATGTGTAAACTTTAACAACTCTGAAAATATCCTTAATGTGACTGTTAAAAAAAGAACAAGAGCATACAGAGAACCTGAGCAAGTATGAAATATCTCTACTAAACATACAGCATTTTTACTCTCATCAGTACTACATTATTAATGACAGCGGTCTGTTTTTAGTACATTTCTCTAGATGGGAACAGCCTGACCTCAACTGATCTAGTGAATTTAGGGAAAGGCCTGTATAAGATTAAGGTACGTGGGTTTATGGTGGACTGTGAAGATTTTACATTTATGAACAATATTTCTCAATGGAAATGCATTAGCACTTTTGTCTGACCCTCAGTTGAGCCCAGAGGCGGAGCAAAAGGTTGTGCAATCGAGAGAGCTTCTGGACACCATTGTGAAAGAAAACAAAGGTGTGCATGACATCCACTTACATAAAGGACATATGTGTGGTTTCTTTTGTAAGTGATCAAACTTCTGATTTGTTTTAGCCTTTTCTTAAATATAAAAGTTCCAAAAAGAGATTTTCACAGCGACGCCATAGAAGAACCATTTTTGGTTCCTCAAAGAACCTTTCAGTAAATAGTTCTTAATAGAACAATTTTTCTTAGTATGAAGAAAAAATTCACAATCTAAAGAACCTTTTGTGGAATGGAAAGGTTCCATGGATGTTAAAGGTTCTTCATGGAGCCATAGATGTCAATAAAGAACCTTTATATATGAATTATTATGTCGCATAAAAATCTTTTCGACTTGCACATCTATTTCTTCTGAAAATGTAAAAATGTAGTGCAAAACAGCACATATTTACTATTAAATAGTGTGGGCTTTAATAAGTTTGACCAACATCAGTATTTTCTTTTTCATGTTCTAGTTGTCTATGGCATCACTACAGGGTTTGGTAAATTTGCTCGGACTGTCATCCCAGTCAGCAAGCTCAAGTATATATATATTTTTCATTTTTTACTCCTGAAACCTTTTGCATTTAAATTAACAATTATTTTAACTCACATGTTTCTGTCTTTCAGGGAGCTTCAGGAAAATCTTCTGCGCTCACACTCCTCAGGTGTGACATATTTTCGTCAAATGAAATATACACAAGCAGTTAAAAGGCTGGAATAATTAGGATTTTTTAAAATGTTTTTGAGAAGTCTCTTACATACAGTAAAAACAGTATAAATATTACAGTATAAATTATTTCTGAAGGATCATGTGACACTGAAGACCGGAAAAAACAGAGGGATAAAATGTATTTTTAAACATATTCAAATAGAAAACAGTGATTTGAAATTTTAATAATATTTCACAATATAACTGTTTTACTGTATTTTTGATCACATAAATATAGCCTTGGTGAGCAGAAAAGAGTTCCTTCAAAAACATAACAAAAAATCGTAATGCTTCCAAACTTTTGACCGGTATATGAATACGTTTCTGCATATGTTTTTGTATGACATTTCTAAGATATTTACGCATCATAAAAAATATTCCTGCGATGAATTGACATTGTTGAACCAATTTTGATTCTGTGTACTATATTATTATTTTTGATTATATGTCACTGTAGGTCTGGGAAGTCCTTTAAGTCCTGAAAGAACTCGAATGCTGCTCGCACTGAGGATCAATGTTTTGGCCAAAGGGTACAGCGGGGTTTCACTGGAGACGCTGCACCGCATGATCCATGCCTTCAATGGTACATTAATGCATCCCTCATTATTTTATAACTGAAGAGAGTACTCTTGGGGTTTTTGGTTTCTTTGGCACAGCATGTGAAACATGGTGTGCCATTTCAAAGAATACTTTCATGTTAGTTGCCGCGTCTTTGAAATAATATTAGCAAAAGGTTTCTTTGAATTTCTCCCTCAAAAGAGTTTTACCAAAGCTGATATTTTACCGTTTTCTTTCGTTTCTCTTACCAGCCTCCTGTTTATCGTACGTCCCGGAGAAGGGTACGGTGGGTGCGAGCGGAGATCTCGCCCCTCTTTCTCACCTCGCCCTTGGCCTCATGGGAGAAGGCAAGATGTGGTCGCCCAAGAGCGGCTGGGCGGATGCCAAATATGTGAGTAAATACTCATTGGGTGCTTTGGTTGCAGATCTTTGTCCTAATGATAATGCAAGCAATGCATAAACACATTTACTCCTCGTTTAGCCTTTAAAGTCACATTTGACCTTTGTATTGCCTGCAGGTTTTGGAAGCACATGGTCTGAAGCCCATATCTCTGAAGCCAAAGGAGGTACGGCTAATCCCCCCATTGTGCAGTCAATATGTTTATCGCTGTTGACTTAGAGCTGTTTTGTGGGTCAGAAATGTGTGTCCTTGACCTGCCTGGTCCATTTTAACAGTGGAGCCCCTCTTAGAACCCACTGTAAGCTTTAGAACAAGTCATTTTTATTGTATAGCAAAGTTCCAAACTAGAGAAGAAAGATTTTATAAGCTATATTTGTGTGCTAGAACGTGGTTGCTCAGCAGTTCTGTTCTGAAGGGGTTGTTAGGTGGTGATAGATAGAGAGCAAATAGATTAATAAATAGATTGACTGACTGACAGATCAGTGGTTCAGTACTGTTGTTCTGTGATAAAAGATAAAAATGTTGGTTATGTTTATCTCTGTCTGCAGGGGCTGGCTCTGATCAATGGGACTCAGATGATCACTTCTTTGGGAGCAGAGGCCGTGGAGAGAGCCGAGGCTATATATATATGTATGGGTCCGAGTGGGCCACACGTCACTTCACTTTAAAACTTTTTTTCACTTTTTATTTTGTCATTTTTGTACTTTTTGGTTTACTGACCACTGATCTGCAAATACATATCAGAATATGTCATTTGTTCAGATATCAAACCTGAATTTGTCTGTTTTATTTATCCTTACAGTGCTAGCTATTGAGTTGTTAGCAGCCTGTCAGGGTATCGAGTTTCTACGCCCACTACGTACGACGACCCCATTGGAGAAAGTGTATGATCTTGTGCGTGCCACAGTAAAGTAGGTCAAACGATGATACACTAACTCTAAAACCTCCAATATATTGAACAATCAGGTTAATAATTGGCAAACCTTCTTTAATCTTTATCTTCATATTTATTTATTTTAATCTTTTCCCTAGGCCCTGGATTAAAGACAGATTCATGGCTCCAGACATTGAAGCTGTACATCGGCTACTCGTAGACCAGAAGGTAAGCTTCACTGTTTCTTAGTATTTGCATCAATATAAATATGAAAACAAACCCCGGACACAAAGTATTAACCTTTGGTGCGTGACTGTTTATACTACGGACATGAATGGGTGCTACAAAACATGAGGGTATTACTTTTGTAAACAACCAGATTTAATATTTCTTACCTGGTGGATCATAAAGCAGATGAAAAAATCCAGAAATCCCCTAGAAACATCCCAGAACACCCTAGCAATTTTTCAAATTAACATTATCATTTTTTTAAGCATTTTGTTTCTAATATTTTCTTGCTTTGATTACTTAATTAGATTACCGTGTACATTATAGTTTTTGTAAATATAGCTTATAAATCATGTACTTCAATTATGTTTTAAACGACAACATTTGGTGTCACATGATGCTTGAGAAATCATTATAACATGCTGATTAGGTGCTTAAGCAACATTTCTTATTAGTATCAGTTTTGTTTTGAAAACAGCTGCTGCTTAGTATTTTTGTGGAAACCTTGATGCTTTTTTTCCAGGATTCTTTGACGAACAGAAAGTTAAAAATAACTGCATTTATTTTGAAAGAAATTTGTGTAACATTACAAATGTATTTAATGTCACTTTGATCACTTTAATGCGTCCTTGCTTAATAAAAGTATTAATTTATTTAAATAAAAATCGTAATGACCCCCAAATATTTGTATATGTATGTTATATATAAATATATACATCTATATACAGTATACTTATTAAATGTATTAAAATGTATTATTCAAGACAATTTACACTAGTATTCTCACCCCATATTGTTTCTTGCCTGTTGCATTCAGGTGTGGAACATTGCTGGGCCATACATTGAGAAATACTGTATGGAATACATCCCAGAGTCCCGCCCCTCTTCCCCAACAGCCTTTGCTCTGGACCCGCCCCCATCACCACGGAAACGGGTCAGGCTGGAGTGACAGAGGATGGCATCCTGCTGATACTGTCCTCACATTCAATACATTATGATGAATTTATATAGAGCCTTTAAAATGTGTGCACATTTCAGCATAGTTCTCACACTTTAATGCTTCTTTCCTTGAATGAAGTTCATTATAAGATGTGAAATATTCCACTTCTGCTGTAAGAGTATTTTGCCATCTGTTGGCCCTTATGCAATGTTTCCATTTCTGAGTGAAGTGTTAGTGAATAAATGTCTTGTTATATCAGTTTTGTGTTTCTTTTCCACTTTCACACCCGTTGACAGCAGAATAGAGTCTGTTACTGTTTTCATTCAGATTTTGAAACGCCTATCAAACACTTCCACCAGTCCAGTCTTAAAGGAAGTGTCTTTGAACTCATGTCACTGAGGGATTCTGACAAATGGAAGGATGTTGTTCTTTGTTCCTTGGCTCGCCACCATGTGAAATACAGTATATGTTTGACTTTCCACAGACACTGTTTTTGTGGCTCGTGGTCCGTTCCCTTTTTGCATTTTTTACTCAACATATCCGTTTTAGTTTAAATTAGTGTTGCTATCAAGTCCATTGGTTCATATTTGGGATAAAATGTGTAAAATGTTGCTTCTGTAAAAATTCTTTTTACACTCATATTTCTTTGTTATGAGTGTTTTAAGAAGAGTTTTCAGTGAATACAAATTTTAATTTATCTTACAGTATGACTTCAGATGACATAAATGTCACATGGACCACTTTTATAGTGCTTTTTTGTCCAATTTAGTAGTTTAGTAGTCATAATACATGGTGCTCAGCAGGCGTGGGGATGTCAGGGGCAGCTGCTGCTTGTGTGTACCAGATACTGAATGTCTGTAACAATACTGCCCAGCCTCCTTCTGTATGTCTGGCTCTATTTCTCTCTCTCTTTTCCTTGGAAAGGTGATTAACTGGACTCGCTGCAACAGCAACAACTTGTGACTGCATTAAAATCTCCCCTTATCTTTTACATTTTTGTCTGTGAGAGCATTTTCATTAAAAACCAAAAGGAAATACTTGAGACAAAGACTAAGAAGATTTACATCTAAAGGTAATGATTTCTCTTGCTTAAATGGGACACTGTGTAAAACTTGTAGTTACACCCAGGACAGATTGCTGCATTTACTCTATCTATCTATCTATCTACACTCTAAAAAATGCTGGGCTAAATATAACCCAGCGCTGGGTTAAAAAGGGACAAACCCAGCTATTGGGTTGTTTTCGACCCAACCGCTGGGTCAAAACAACCCAATAGCTGGTTTTGTCCCTTTTTAATCCAGCATTTTTAAGAGTGTATCTATCTGTATGTGTGTTTATTTCTATGTTTGTGTATATAGGCTATATGTACTGTATATAAATATATACACAAATATATACTGATCTATAAATACATAACACTATACACACACACACACACACACACACACATATATATATATATATATATATATACACATACATACATACATATACATATAATTGCATTATGTGCTTTAAAATATTTATTTAATAATAATGTGAGTAATGTTTATTTTTAAACCATTATATGCATACCTACATAAATTATTCAAATTTAAACCATTATTTACACGTACAGTTATGCTAATCTACTAAACTATTCCTATCTATATTTATAAGACTTTCTGTTCCACCACTCTCCTGATGCTGTACATTGCAACTGTCTGACAAAATATATGTTTCCCGCAAAATGTTGTTTACATGTCTGTAGTTATGGACTAAATATGATTCTGAGAGGACACTGGGAATACATTTATCTTATGAATTGATACTGCTAATACAGTGTGTGTACTGTGTGGCGCAGAGACATGAGTCTAGAAGAAGACTCACGCTGGCTGGAATGGGTCACCAAGCAGTTTGAGAGCATTGCAGGAGACGACAAAGAAATCGACCTGGATGAGTTTAAAACAGCTCTGAAAGTAAAAGAGGTGAGCTTTCTGATCATGGAAACATTTATAATATTAATGTATTATCTTATTCTGAAAAGATCTCAATATGATCACCTTTTTTCTCCTGTTATTTGTTGTAGTCTTTTTTTGCGGAGAGGTTCTTTGCCTTGTTTGACTCTGATGGCAGCAGCTCCATCAGTCTGGATGAACTTCTCGAGGCTTTAGATCTTCTGATCCATGGCAGTGAGACAGACAAACTACGCTTCCTCTTCCAGGTCTATGATGTGGATGGTAAGGTGTACAGTACATCTTTTACTCTTTCATTTTAGAATTCAGTGGTAAATGGTATTACATTAAAATGATAACTAGAATAATTTAAAACAAGTGTAAATAATTACTTAAAGAATTAAACAATATAATATGATTTAAAATACTTAAATGCTAAAAAAATCAAGATTCTGCATCCAGAAAATGAAATCTTTGTTACATATTTATATATTTTCTTTCTTTAAAAACAACAACAATGCATTAACATGTGACGTTACCTACAAAAAACATCCTGGAGTATAATCACGATTAATGTATTAACAGCTCTTGTTAATGAATAACCACATTTGTCATAATTTTAGCTCAAGACAAAAAATTTTTTGAAATAAATAAAAAATCAGTGAATCTCAGAATATTGACAATAGAGTTAGGCTACAGTTAAGTTTGAGAAGCGCTCCCATAATGCATTTTTGTCTTACAATGCATATTTTATTATTCTGAAATGCTTTAAGAAATTGATTGCCAAGTTAAATGCACAAAGTGATTTACACAAGTAGAATATGTTCCTGGTCCGCATACATTTTGACCATTTCATTTCTTATTAGGAAAGGAATAAAAAACGGAAAACTTTATTGGGCTAAAATTTTTGTGCACACTGGTTTATGACTTAATTTGGCTATATTGTATGTGAACACAATCATGCTAATAAAGTAGGACTTATAATTGAAAGTACTTAAGAGTGAAGAGAGAGAGATGTATTAATGTATAGGGCTATACCTTGCTGTTCCTGGCACAACATTCCACTTAACTTACACGGACCATAACCGTCCTATCATTAATATCAAAGACTATAGAATACCTAATCATGTAGAATGACTTAAAGGGACTTTGAAAGGATTGGCTGACTGTAATGCTGTTCCAAAAACAACGTTGATCCAGGAACATGTCATACTTGCCTTACACCCTACACTTTGTTAAACAATCAGCGGTAAACCATTAATTCAATTAGGCTATTGTGTTGACCTGTCATGTAGGCAGTGGTTCCATAGACCCAGATGAATTACGTACAGTTCTGAAATCCTGTCTGCGTGAGAGTGCGATCTCACTTCCTGAGGAAAAGCTGGATGACCTGACACTGGCGCTGTTCGAATCTGCAGATAAAGATAACAGCGGCTCTATCACGTTTGAAGAGCTGAAGGCAGAGCTGGAGAACTTTCCTGAGGTTATGGAGAACCTTACCATCAGGTAAGACATGATTATGCAAAATCACAAGACCACTGATTTTCTGATCAATGATATATGATATCTTTTTATACTACAGTTCAGTGAGAAAGAAGTTAATAGCTACTGAGTAACCTTATATTTTGGATACAGTTTTGCCAGTTAATTTGTGTATTTTTCCTTTGGCAACGAAAATAGTATCAAATAAAGTTGCACGTCTGAGCAACACACTAGCGGTGTCCAATTAATGAATGACTGAGTGTTTTGAATGACAGAATGATTAAATGACTCACTCATAAAAACATGTTTAGATCCTGAATGAATCAGTGTTTTTTTTTTTGCCATGGGCTGTGTCCGAAATCGCCCCCTATAACCTTAAATAGGGCACTATTTGAGGGAACAGCCATTTCTAGTGGTGTCCGAAACCATAGTGGACGTTCTTGAGTGCACTCATTCAATCCCACAATGCACTGCAAAAACGAGTGTACAACTGGTGCACGCTCAACGGCTAGAGAATGCCCATAATGCACCGTGAGAGTCACGCGCCGAATTAATTCCCGAAGATGGCGCCCGCAGCTGAATAATCCGTTCATTTTTACAAAGCGCTCATCCATGGCGTAAAGCATAATGTACAACACGGGTATAAATTCATTGTAAATTGATTATTAAATTGTTTGATTAGGGTTTATACATAATTTCCGTGAAAGAGTTCAAGATAAATCCTTTAATCTTACTACTGGAGCTGCTAGTTTGCTAGTTTCAAATGATTAATAAACAGCAAGCCCAAACTATGCGAAAGCGGCATTCCTTCCGGTGCACTCAGTGTCCGAATTCACTACTCGTTTTCTTTCACTCCTTCTAGTGAACTGAATTAGTGACCTAATGTAGGGAATAGTGAATGAGGGTATAGGGGGCGATTTCGGACACAGCCCATGTTTAGATCCTGAATGAATCAGTGTTTTTGAATCAGTTGAGTGAATGAATCAATGACTCACTCATAAAGACAACTTGTTTTGTTTCGAAATGAATCTGTGTTTTTGAACATATCGGTTGAATGAATGATTCAAAGACTCTCTCATTAAGACAGTCACCACCCTGGCATAGAGATGTATAGGTGCTACAGTCAATAACTTATTGATTTTGAATGATAACTTGTTAAAGACAGACCTACTGTGAACTATCGTTATTAATCAATGGTATGTGCTTTTGCTGAAGCCCTCAGTCTGCATTATTTAAACTTACTGAATGTTTAACAGTGAAATTCCTGGTGAAAAAATACATTACCCATGATTCTGCAAAGAAATCTCCACCAGTCCCAGAATCAAAACAAGCAAATTGCACCAAAATAACTCTTTAGTGCCCATCTGCTCCCATAAAGCATTGCAAATAATGTGATATAGTCAGTCTATATTCGCTTGCAAACTACTTAAACATCTGTATCTATAAACATATTTGCAATAAACAAAATATGTTGTTTCTATATGTATACACAATATCTTTAAATCAGTGATTTAATATTTGTCTGTCGTTTTTAATTCGCAGTGCCTTGTAGTTGGGATTGTAGTTATTTCCCTCATTTAAGCTGTTACATAATACCTTTTTGTCCAGTTTTCAAATATTGTTTTAGTTCAAATCAAAGTTTGCAATGTTATGATTCACCTCGAAGCTAGTAACTCTTTACCAAAACCAGAACTTGCTGCTGTGCAATCAAACATAAATGCTCCAAAATGTACCAAATTTATTACCAAAAAAAAAATACTGCTTTCTCTGTTTTCACTCAGTGCCGCCAACTGGCTGAAACCTCCCGATCTGGAGCAGAAGAAATGCAAGACTCCTCGTTACCTGACGCGGGCGTACTGGCACAACAACAGCCGCAAGCTGCTCTTCCTCTGCCTGTATGCCCTCCTGAATGTGCTCCTCTTCATCATCGCGATGCTGAAGAATGCGCATGGAGGCCCCTGGTTCATGGTGGCCAAGGGCTGCGGCCAATGTCTCAATCTCAACTGCACTTTGGTTATGGTGAGTTGAACTCATGGATTCATCTGATATTTCATTTTCCTGTAATGACAAGGTTTTGTCTTGCAGGTGCTGATGTTGAGGCGCTGTCTGACGTGGCTACGTGCCACCTGGGTGCTGAGGGTCTTACCTTTGGACCAGAACATTCTACTGCATCAGATCGTGGGCTACGCAATCTTGATCTTCAGCATTGTACATACTGGTGCTCACGTCATAAACTTTGGTAACCTGTAATAAACTTGTTAAAAATGGTCTAATTAATTTAAAGGGATAATATCAAAAACATTGGACTCCATTGACGTTCATTCTATGGACAAAAAAAGTGAACTTGAACTAATCATAAAGTAAACATGCATTTTAATTACCTGCAATAAAACTTCTGTCATTATTTACTTACTTAACCCTGTAATGCCTGACATATGAAATAATAGGCCAAAAAAATAAAAAAAAATTTGACAAAATATAATAGTAATAATAATAAAAGAAAATATGGAGCTCATACTCAAGAAAGAAAAAGCACCTTAATTTTATTCAGAGGCCCAACATTAAATATGCAAAAATTAGTAATTTGGTACAGTTGCTGATATTTATATTATTAAAATAAAAATTAAGATTATAGTTTGATAGTTTGTATTGTAAATCAATGAGGTCTTAATAACAGTATAACAGACTACTTACATAAAATGCATATACATATCAGTTGTCACTGTTTATCTCCCAAAATTATAATTAATGTCTTAATAAGATTATATTTAAATACTCTACTAGCCTGATGTATCATATTTAATACATCAAAAATTATGCATGGATAATTAAGTAAGCCTAAGTTGCTTCAGTCCAGTATTCATCCTGAAATAATAGATTGCATATATGATACTGTAGGCTTTATAGGGTTCAACTGAGTGTATAAAGTATATGACTTTGTAACATACTGTAGTAAAAGCAACATATTAATAAAGAATATTTCTCAATATCCCTTTCTCTCTGTTCTTAGCCCGAATGTCTCAGACTGATGGTATGTATCAGCTGTGGGAGTATCTTTTCACCATCCGTCCTGGGATTGGCTGGGTCAATGGCACCGCCTCCATCACGGGCGTCATTCTGCAGGTTCTCATCTGCTTAATGGTGGTGTGTTCCAGCACATTCGTCAGACGCAGTGGTCATTTTGAGGTGATGGCTTGCTGATTAAATTTATGAGAAGCAAGAATGTGCTGATGCTCGCTTCTGTGAATATCTGTTGATTTGGAAAATATGGAGCTGAAAAAGATGATTGTTTCAAGACCAGCAAAGAATCCTGTTTGCAAATTGCAGCACATTATTTCAGCCATGCATACCAACAAACAAATACCATTCAAATATGTTTTGTCAAAGCATAATATGTTCAAGAAATGGGTTTGTTTTTGTGTAGGTGTTCTACTGGTCCCATCTTTCCTACATCTGGGTTTGGGCCCTGTTGATCGTCCACTGTGCGAACTTTTGGAAATGGTTTGTGGTGCCAGGAGTGGTGTTCCTCATTGAGAAACTTGTTGGAATAGCAGTGTCCCGCATGGGTGGGCTGTACATAGTTGAAGTCAACATATTGCCCTCAAAGGTAAAAATCTGAGCCAATGTACATATTTTGGTGTGTTTAGTTTACTGGAACATTTAGTTAGTCATCCATGCTGAAAGCTTCACCTCTACTGCCTTTTATTTGTGTTTCGAAGGTAACACATTTGGTAATCAAGAGGCCTCCATTCTTTCACTTCAAACCTGGGGATTATGTGTATATAAACATTCCTGTTATCGCCAAGTACGAGTGGCATCCGTTTACCATCAGCAGCGCTCCTGAGCAGCAAGGTAAATTTTTGTGTTAGTGCTATGTGGACGGACCTTTTGGCACCCCAACCCGACAGATCTTTGCATCTGAACATGCAGTGCTTATTGGCGCTGGAATCGGCATCACTCCTTTTGCATCCATTTTGCAGAGTATTATGTGCCGGTGAGACTAAAGTTTTCTTTGCATCAAAAAAAAGCACATGCAAATTTTTTTAAATTGTATGTAATATTTATTTTTGTCTTTTTTCCCCCAGTTATCGCATGAGAAAGCAAAACTACCCCAACTGCAACTATTCCTGGTGTGAAACCATCAAAGACAACGAAATGAAACTGAGGAAGGTGAGAGTGGTGATCAGTCGAATGGAAACTAGAATAAATAGGAGAAAAAAATATTTATTTCAGCAAAATTGTCATTTTTGCAACAACTATTCCTTAAAGTTCAGATGCTGTCTTAAATGATTAAGTAATCAATCTGGTTGTACAAGTCAGTTCAACTAATTTTTTTAAATCTTGTCTTGTTGAATCTCAGTTGAAATTGGCTAAATTAAAACATGTTGCTATGATTTAATGATCATATCATTTTTACATTGTATAGATAGCATCAAAGCTAATAAACATGAACAAATTTGATCTCATGAAATTTGTAAATGTCTTCTAACTTCCTGCAGGTGGACTTCATTTGGATCAACCGAGATCAGAAGTCCTTTGAGTGGTTTGTGAGTCTCTTGACCAAGCTGGAGATGGACCAGGCAGATGAAGAGCCAGAGGGTAAGAGAGAACCGAAGAAAGAGGGAGATAGGGTTGGCACTGAAATGGCCAATCATGCTTGTTTTTATGTTTTCAGGCCGTTTTTTGGAGATGCACATGTACATGACATCAGCCCTCAGTAAGAATGATATGAAGGCCATAGGTCTGCAGATGGCTCTGGACCTGCTGGCCAAGAAAGAGAAGAGAGATTCCATCACTGGGCTTCGCACACGCACACAGCCAGGCAGACCAGATTGGGCCAAGGTATGAAAAGCTATTCTATTCTACTCTACTCTACTCTATTCTATTATCCCCAATATCTTTGATTCTCAATGTTTAAATGCATTTTCAGGTTTTCCAGAAGGTGTCTGAGGAAAAGAAAGGAAAGGTTCATGTGTTTTACTGCGGTTCTCCTGCTCTGGCCAAAGTCATCAAGGCCCAGTGTGAGCAGTTCGGCTTCAACTTCTACAAAGAAAATTTTTGAAGAATTTATAATATTTCATTTGCTTGAAATCTAACAAATAGTAGGAAATAATCATCTGACAATCTGATGTTGCCGATGTGTCTGATGTTGTACGTTTTGTAACGCTCACGTTGTTGTATGTTTTCATTTATTTGCAGTGTTTGTGTAAGTAACCTTTTAACACTTTTAATGAACTTGTATAAGTTTTTTTATTATTATAGTTATTATTTTTTAATTGATTTTAGAAATGCCATTTCTGGATATTATGCATCATATAAAAATTTTATTTATTTAGTTTTAGCTCCAGTAAGAGAATAGTCTCTGCAGTTGGTGTCATATAAAATTGCCATGTAAATAACAGTATGACGTAATTTATTCAAGAATGCACAGTAGGAATTATTAGTTACTAAGATGTAAATACAAATAATGAAAAACTGTTACTTGAGAAAGGTGTAAAAAAAAATTAACTGCTTTGATGACATAAACAGTTTACATTGCCAAGACATAATAATATAAAAATAATAATAAATATTACATACAATATTACCAAATACAGTTGTGGTCAAAATTTTACATACACTTTACAGTGTCTGCAAAATGTTAATTATTTTACCAAAATAAGATGGAGCCGTTTTAAAAGCCTTGAGATTCTTGGAAGATGAAATAGTTTGGAATAGTCGTTTATTATCAGTCATAATATTCAACTAATGTCACACCAATCTGACATTTAATTGGCTGCCACGGAAGCCCGTCTCCTCTCATTGGCCAGTGCTGCATCAGATACAGCTGTAGCATCTACTATGTTGCAGATTTAGAGCGAGAGGACTCGCTTCATATATTTTTCTTTGTCGTCTTCTATATTATGCCTTCATAGACCCCCGAGCGGACGGTGCGATGGTTTCATGTGAGCGTAAGTATGTTTTCATACCGTTTTACAGCACTTCATGTTGTTCAACGCCCTCATTCGCATTCAAAATCACATGAGCCCTCGCAGCTTCAATTTAGAGTGATGCGATTAGATTTGATAATCATTCGCCTGTGTATGTGCTGAAAGGATTAGTGCTCAATAAATGGATTTGTTTCCAATTCATAATGTGACCATGCAAGTTGCTTCTAGATGGTATGTAGCTATACATTAACGTTTAATTGTACACTTACATTTATTATAGGTGTAAGCCTTCACCATAAGACTTCAGTATACCAGTGATCTTGATGGTTAGATGTTGATATTTTGATATATATTGTGGGTTATTCCAAGTATATGACAAAATGGTGGACCCATATTTATCTCTGTCCGCAGATGCTGCACCTGAATCGCTCTAACAGGACCTTAAGGGTTTCCTGAGATGTTCCACTATCACTGCATGGCTGTGATGTGACAATGCGCTGTCTGGTGGCTCGCATCAATCACAAGACTCTGATAGTCATCTGTGCTGTGTTTGCCCTCATCACTGTACTGCTGTGGAACAAGTGCTCCCGTGACAAAGACCTACCCACACAGATCAGACCTCAGCTGGAGTTTGCACCCACCCCAGAGAAGGACGAAGAGAACGGCCAAGCCCCTGAAGCACCGCCTGGATCCAGAGAAGTCACTTACGAGCAGATTGACTGTCTTATCAATGAAGATGTCATCATAAAAGGCCGTAGGGAGAGGGGTGAGGTGTATCTGCCTTTCAGCTGGTTGGAAAGGTACTTTGACGTCTACGGGCGTCTGGTGCAGTATGATGGGATGGAACGGTTTGAGTTCTCCCACAGTTACTCACGGGTGTACGCCCAAAGGGAGCCTTACCACCCGGATGGGGTCTTCATGTCCTTTGAGGGCTACAACGTAGAAGTGCGGGATCGGGTGAAATGCATCAGCGGTGTGGAAGGTAGTTTGCATAAAATAGGCGTAGCCAGCCCTGTTCCTGTAGTGCTACCGTCGTGCAGCGTTCAGCTCCAATCCCAATCAAACACACCTGAACCAGCTACTCAGGGTGTTCAGGGTTACTTTTTATATGTAAATGACGTTCAGAAACTGTATTTGAAATGAATAAGGAGGAACGAATAAATATTGATACAAAAAACGACATTTATTTATTAAGATTGATTTTCATTTGGCATGCATTACACGTAACGGTGAGCAGCCGCAGGTTATTTATTCACATAATGTTCTCTTTTAAAATGTAAACAAGTGTAAGGCCCTGTTTACACTAGTGCGTTTTCATTTTAAAACGCCGTTTTAAAATGAAAACGATCCTTGTCTACACTTGCGTTTTCACTGCATTTCAGAAACGATCTCCGTCCACACTACACAACCGAAAATGCATGTCACATGACCATTCATGCAGGTACAACAATGAGCATGATGTTATTGTTTACACGGTCATCAAGGATATGCAGAGCAACTGTTGGCAGCCACGCTATCGTTTTTAAAATTCTTCGTTTTGGTCCGTTTAAACTGAAACGCAACCCCGGAGTTTTCATACTAAAACGGGGTCTGCAGCGTTTTCGAAAGTCTCCGTTTTCTAAGGTCTAAAACGCCGGAGTAGTGTAAACGACAGGCGTAACCGTAGCAAAAGTTATGTGGTTTAAAATGAAAACGCACTAGTGTAAACGTAGCCTAAATGTCAAAAGCAGGGGTGCCCAATCCTGTTCCTGGAGATTGACCTTCCAGCAAAGTTCAGCTCTAACGCTAATAAAATGCACCTTAACCAGCTAATTAAAATCTTCAGGAACACTTGATAATTACAGAGAGTTTGTTGGAGCAGGGTTGGCACTGAATTCTGCAGGAAGTTAGATCTCCAGGAACGGGATTGGGCAACCCTGGTTTAAAAGAACATACGTTTGAAGTTTCATAAAATGCTTTCATAAAGAATTATACCATTTCTGGGATCAACCTTTTGTGTTTTTATTGTTCACAGGTGTACCGATCTCTACCCAGTGGGGTCCTCAGGGTTACTTCTACCCCATCCAAATAGCTCAGTATGGGCTGAGCCACTACAGCAAAAACCTCACAGAAAAGCCACCTGACATAAAGATCTATGGCATGTCCGAGGAAAAAGAGGGTGGCTCAAGTCCATGGGTCGTCCCTAAGGGTTGCACGCTGTCCAAGCTCCAGGATCAAGGTCGCTCTGGGTTTGCGAACCATTTTGTCACAGCAGGTAGGAATTCCTTGTTACATTTTTGTTGATGTGAATTCAGATGAATCGACTGTTTTGCTGTGATGATCATAGATAGATGACAACTTTGTTGTATTTTCATAGAGAACTCTGATGGTGTGTCTTTGGTCTTGGACAATGCAAAAGATTTCGTCCTGACCTTTGATGTGAAGTTTGTCTCCAATGGTAGCGTCTCTGTGATTCTGGAGACCACAGAAAAGGGGCCTCCTTACATCATCCATTACATCACTAGTCCACTCCTTCTTTCCTTTAAAGACCGAGAGGTCATCTATGGCATCGGCTCTCGAGCCTCGTGGAGTACTGTCAGTCGCGATTTAGTGACGGATTTGCGTAAAGGAGTCGGTTTGTCCAACACCAAAGTGGTGAAGGCAACCAAGATCATGCCTCGCCGTGTGGTCCAGCTGGTTCTTAGAGGTTCTGGCTTTATCAGCAATATCACTGTGTCTTCCACTGCACACATGGCTGCCTTCTTTGCCGCCAGTGATTGGCTTCTTCATAACCAGGATGAGCATGGAGGGTGGCCGATTAAGGTGACCCGTAAGCTCGGAGAGGGTTTCAAGAGTTTGGAGCCCGGATGGTACTCCGCCATGGCCCAAGGCCAAGCCATGTCGACATTGGTCAGGGCGTACCTGGTGACGCACAACCCTGCATACCTCGGTGCAGCAATCCGAGCGACATCCCCCTTCAAGAGGACTTCGGAACAACGTGGCGTCAAGGCGACATTCTTGAACAAGTACGACTGGTATGAAGAATACCCCACAACGCCTAGTTCGTTTGTTCTTAATGGCTTTATCTACTCTCTGATTGGGCTGTATGATGTGGCAGAGACCGCGGGCAACAAGCTTGGTCGAGAAGCAGGTGTACTCTTCAGTCAAGGACTGGAGTCGCTCAAGGCCATGTTGCCATTGTTTGACACAGGTTCTGGAACGGTTTATGACCTAAGACACTTTACCCTGGGTGTTGCCCCTAATTTAGCACGCTGGGACTACCACACCACGCACATCAACCAGTTACAACTGCTTGCATCAATTGACAGTGCCCCCATTTTCAGGGACTATGTGAAACGATGGAAGACTTACCTGAAAGGAGGCCGGGCCAAGCACAACTAGACTTTCTCAGATGGCAATTTTATATAAAAATGTGAACTAATGTTTGAGAATGAAGTAAACTGAGCATTAATAATTAAATAAGCATTTTTACTTTACGTGAAAAGGGTTTCATATTGTATCCATCTTGATTACTTAAAAGTGTCTTGCTGAAGAGCTAGAGTTGTTTGAGAATGTGGAGTCACCTAAAATATTTATTTCCAAAATATCATGGTGTATTTGAATGTAAGAAGCAATGCACAGTTATTTACACAGATTTTGAAGAAAGCACAGCACCAAGTACGACTGGTATGAAGAATACCCCACAACGCCTAGTTCGTTTGTTCTTAATGGCTTTATCTACTCTCTGATTGGGCTGTATGATGTGGCAGAGACCGCGGGCAACAAGCTTGGTCGAGAAGCAGGTGTACTCTTCAGTCAAGGACTGGAGTCGCTCAAGGCCATGTTGCCATTGTTTGACACAGGTTCTGGAACGGTTTATGACCTAAGACACTTTACCCTGGGTGTTGCCCCTAATTTAGCACGCTGGGACTACCACACCACGCACATCAACCAGTTACAACTGCTTGCATCAATTGACAGTGCCCCCATTTTCAGGGACTATGTGAAACGATGGAAGACTTACCTGAAAGGAGGCCGGGCCAAGCACAACTAGACTTTCTCAGATGGCAATTTTATATAAAAATGTGAACTAATGTTTGAGAATGAAGTAAACTGAGCATTAATAATTAAATAAGCATTTTTACTTTACGTGAAAAGGGTTTCATATTGTATCCATCTTGATTACTTAAAAGTGTCTTGCTGAAGAGCTAGAGTTGTTTGAGAATGTGGAGTCACCTAAAATATTTATTTCCAAAATATCATGGTATATTTGAATGTAAGAAGCAATGCACAGTTATTTACACAGATTTTGAAGAAAGCACAGCAGATTTTCTCAAATAAAATAACTATATCTTGATGCATACAATTAGTAAATGTGAGTAGTCACACTAATGATTGTGTACTAATGAATCTATGAATAGGTTATACTGTAAAAATGTCATTATTGTTGCATAATGGTAAAATGAGTGCTTTGTATTAGAAATGTTTTAGAAATATTTTATCTTTGTATTTTAAAGCACAATCCTATCATAGGTCTTTGTGATTTGATACAGTTGCACAATTTGAATAGTTTTCTTTTTAGTATGTACTTATTTAAAGCTTAAATAAATGTGCTATTTATGCTGTTTTAAAACTTTGTGAACAATCATTGCTACCAAAAAAGTGCACTGATAGACACATATGGCACATATCATATTAATGCTATGGTATTCTTTGAAGTACCTTGGAGTCCCATCATGTAAAACCCTGGCACGTGAATATGGTAATCATTAATCGCTGTGGCATATATCAAAATACCATGGTGTTATGATCTGATACAATCACTGTATCTTAGTACTGCCATAAGAATTTAAATGTCTTAAAACCTTAAAAATACTCTTCTTTCTAAATTATGAAAACATGGATATATCAAAATACCATGGTGTTATGATCTGATACAATCACTGTATCTTAGTACTGCCATAAGGACTTTGACTTAATTTCTTTAAACACAATTTAAATGTCTTAAAACCTTAAAAATACTCTTCTTTCTAAATTATGAAAACATGCGAATAAAAATAAATTAATCCCAAATAATCGCACAATCTACCTGTCGTTTTTCTGAGGCGATCCACTCTGCATTCGATTAACCGACCTAAAGTAGTTCAATGCAGTCCGCTCTCGATTAGTATGCCTGCCTACGCAGAGCTACCCATAAACCAGTTAGCTAGCATCATTTCTCCGATAGCCACTACAATACAATCTCTCAATGTACCGCTAATTCAGACGGGTTTGATTGAGATACTCCTAAATGACATGAATGTAATCTGCTCGGCGCTTCGGATCGGTGGGTTGTCAATCCAGGTCGCTTAATAACGATCCATCTCGGCTAAGAGGCTAAGAAGCTAACAGCGTCTTCGATGACATTTCACTGACAAACACAACAGAACAGGTCTGTAAAATATCGATAAATTGGCTGTTTAATCTGCTTTCCAATACAATCATAGTGTATGTGTGGTTATATGATTGTTAGAACTAAGAAATGTGTAAATAAACGTTTATAGCGAATAAATGGTGGCTAACACAGTAGCTTCAGTTCAGTTTCCATATTTGGGCAGGCACGACAGTGAGTTATTGTTAGTTGCACGACCAAAAAACGAATTTAATGCCTTTATTAATACTGTTAATGTGCATATTTTGTGGTCCGGGGTTTGCTGTTGATCAAATATGAATGAAGATTTCACTGGCATTGTGTGGATTTAATGGCTTGTTTGTTTACATGGTTCAGCACATCTGCATCTGATAGGGCTTTAATTGTCCACAGCAACATCAAATCTTATTGACCTGTCTATAAATGACTAAATCAAAGGTAATGTTTGGTGTAATATCACCCACAGGGTTTACTTTTGCAAATCTGTTGTCTAAAGGATGGTAGAGTGATGCTTCATGGACTTGATTGCTGGGCCCTATAACAGATTATTGTGTTTGTAGTGAAGATACATTTTTATTGCATACACCTATAGCTTTGAATCAAGGGTTTTGTTGCATGATCAGTTGGTTTTGTACAGACAGCTGTCATTTAGTTTGCAAGTCTCTGTGTGTTGAAATGCAGAGAATGAACTTGCTCTTGATCATTTTTATTTTATCAGTGAATGATGTCTCAGAAGTATTCTGCCTTTTAATGAATTGCTGATAAGTGATGTTTCTTACTGACCTATAGATTATTGTTTGTTGATTTAAGCTCATTCCTTTGTGTCTGTCCACTAGTCTGCATGGCCGACGTGCTGCTGAGTTAGTGTCCGGCCCGTGTGCAAGGAAGGCCGGCCGGGCCGTGGAGCACTAGAGGGGAAAAATGGCAGTGCAGAACAGAAACTCTGTGCTGATCCTGTCGGGTCGAGAGCGAGGAGCTCGCATGCTGGGCTCCCAGCAGCTCCTGCAGCAGCTGGTGGAAGACCGGACGCGCTGGATGAAATGGCAGAGCCAGGTAGGGTATCAACCTTAATGATTCTAATGATTCACTCTGGCCTACAGTCAGCAGACGTTTCTATATAGACCGATTTCAAGATATCACAGTCAGAATAATGTCTTAAAGGGGTCATATTATGCTTTTTTTAAAGATCATTATTTGGTGTATTTGGTGTAACAGAATATGTTGACATGCTTTAATGTTCAAAAAACACATTATTTTTCAAATACTGTACATTATTGTAGGTCCTCTATGTCCCGCCTCTCTCAAACGCTTCGTTTTCTACAAAGTCCCGCCTTCCGACAAGCGCAGTCTGCTCTGATTGGCCAGCTGACCCAGTGCATTGTGATTGGCCGAACACCGCAAGCACTCGTCGGAAATGTTACCATACCACACCCTTACCATAATCGCGAGCTTCATCTTTCAAAATAAATGTAAAGACAGAGCCCGAAAGGGGAACAGAGTCGCGTGACAGGATAAAGAATATCTCTTTGGTTTTGAGACTTTAGTCTTTGCAACTTCGGGGATCTTATCTATGCACAATCAGCTTGTAACACTCCAAAGAGAAAGGAAAACTTGAAATCGCATCAAATGACCCCTTTAATATTAATGTTCTTGTTTAGATGTAGAATAATAATGCAATAATTTGGTCATTATTTGTGTGTTATAAAATATACAGATTAGATTATTTGACAGTTATTGAGAGGCTGAATTCAAAATTTGTACAGTACATTGAAAAAATTGTCACATCAAACTTGCCACATCGTTTGATTTTTACGTTGCATGCATTTTTAGCAGATTTTGAATTTTAATTGTTAGATTAATTTATTTTAAACTAACAGTTAATATTGTTAACTTAATTGTTATAATTTATTTTAAATTATATTTTTATATATATTTATATTTTTATTTTATAGTCTTTGATTGACCCTGAAATTTCACTATGGCTCCATGCTGTAAAAGCTTTAATTTCCAAATTATCATGCCTGCAAATAATATATGTATGCAAATATACATATGTGTGTTTGTATGTATGTATATAATATGTATATGTCTCAATTATTTCTACAGAAAGTAGAGTTGCCGGATAATCCACGATCGACCTTCCTGCTGGCCTTCAGTCCAGATAGGTAACAATTAAATTTTAAGAGAAAAAAAAATTAGAAAACACTAGATGCTAAATAACTTAAGTTTTCCCTTGCTTCCGGAGATTGTAGTTACTTTTTTTTTTACTTTTTTAGGAATCTTGTGGCCTCAACCCACGTCAACCATAACATCTACATCACCGATGTGAAAACAGGAAAGTGCCTGCACTCTTTAGTGGGCCATCGACGCACACCTTGGTGTGTGACCTTTCACCCCACCATCCCTGGCCTGGTTGCCTCTGGGTGCCTTGATGGAGAAGTCCGCATTTGGGACCTGCATGTGAGCATCAGTTTTGTTTAGTGTTTTAGTTATTCCCAATATGTGTGAAGCTTCCACCTTTGCAAACATTATGTTGTGTGTTAGCTACTTTGTGTTTGATTTTAATACCGTTCGGTAGCAGCTCAAGGTGGTTTTTCTGGTCTGATCAAATTGCAAGTCATCTACATAATATACTAGGCATTAGAACCCCAAACGTTGCTGTTTAAATGATTGTTGTGGATGATTTTCCCTATTCCCAGGGTGGTAGCGAAAGCTGGTTCACCGAGAGTAATGTTGCCATCGCTTCTCTAGCGTTCCACCCCACAGCTCAGCTCCTGCTCATCGCCACCAACAACGAACTTCACTTCTGGGACTGGAGCCGACCAGAACCTTTTGCTGTGGTCAAGACCGCCAGCGAGACCGAACGTGTCCGGTGTGGAAGCAATCCTGTTATTTCATAGTGGTCAAAACTAAATAAAAATGGACCCATTTTCTTTCCAGTAATCATTAAAACAATTAATCCTAAATTTGTATTTTTTGACCAGGTTGGTGCGATTTGACCCTCTGGGTCATAATCTTTTAACAGCTATTGTGAACCCATCCAACCAGCAGGTTAGAAACAACCTTTTTTCCTGTCAAAATAGCTGTTCTGTTTTTTCCTCTGTGCATTTTCCTTTTACAAATGTCATTTTATGAGTGTTTTACTGTGTTTTTGTAGAATGACGATGACTCTGATGTCCCCATGGACAGCATGGAGATGGCTTTGTTCCGCCAACGTTCTCTTTTACGCTCCCCACCTGTACGTCGGACACCAATCCTGCACAATTTCCTGCACATCTTGTCCTCTCGCTCTTCTGGAGCACAGGTTGGTGATCAGTCCCGCCCCGCCCCAGAGCCCAGAGAGCCTCCCAGCATACCTCGGTTCCAGTACCCGGTGCAGACAGAACCGGGTGACCGCCCTGCCTTACAGGGCTGCACGCAGCATTTGGGTCTGGGCTGTCTGTGCAGTCGCTGCGCTGCCTCGCGGAACTTATTCACGCAGAATCCGACAGGCCTCCAGCCTTCGGATCCACCTCAACCGCAAACTCAGTTGGGCCCCTCTGCCTTCTCGCCCGCCCCTAGCCAGACCTGCACCTCCACGGACCGACCGTCTGCTTTTAGCAGCGTGTTCAGCGGGGCTGCAGGGAACTCTGCGCATCGGGGACTCTTGCCTCTTAGGACTATTGATCCCTTGGGGTCACAAACACCTGGTCCTCTTGAGGCCCCTGGGCGTCTCCCTGGGGCTGATTGGTCTGGTAGTCTGCTGAGCACGGGACATGAACATGGGTTAGGTGCGATTGGGGTGGAAAGCAGCGCCGGAAGGGGCATTGTGCCCCCTCCTAGGACAAGCTCCTCTTCTATGGATCTCCTCTCTCTGCACAGGTTCCCCGATGGTTCCTCTTCATCACCCATATACACGTCTGCTACAGAAGGGCGAGGCCTAGTGCTGCCCGGCACGGAACCCAACCGTGGACGAGCCAACGACGGCACTAGTAGTGGCCATCACCCCTTCTATGACAACACCCAGCGCAACAACCCGGCCTCCATACGCAACGTCCTGCAGTGCAACCTGAGCCGTTACTTTATGGAATACGAGCGAATGCAGGAGTTGGAGCGACCCGGTGGCAGCCGAGAGGTGCCGGGTGGACCGGGACCCATGCAGGAGCTCCTCAACAGTGGTATGGACACAGAACGTCCTGGGCCTTCGCACAACGGCTCTTCCCGCACTGGAAACGGAGGCACGGTCGCTGGCCCCTCTCAAAACCACCCTAATCGTTGCCGTTCGTGCCACAACCTCCTCACCTTCAACCACGACACTCAGCGCTGGGAACGTTCTGGTCAGACCTCTTCTTCCTCTTCCTCACAAGACGGACCATCATGGCCGCTTTCAGTGCCTCCGTTTGAGGACCCAGGTCAGGGTGCACGAGTGGAGGCCCAGGCCCCTGAGATGAGGCCCATGGAGTTGGGTGAGGCCTCCTCTGGTCTACAGGGCCAGCAGCCTATGAGTCTGGTGTACAATCAGGAGACGGGGCAGTGGGAAAGTGTGTACCGGCAACCAACAGCAAGCGCTGCTTCTGAGGCAACACAAGACGCCTTAAACCCAGAGGTGCCTGTTGATAATCCGGACGAGGACTCACTCAGGAGGTGGGGAAGAACAAGAACTAAATTTGGTTATTAAGGTGTGGTCAGATTAGCGAAATTTCTGTAAAATGTTGCGGGCAAAAAAAGGTCCATTGTCTGTTGTCAATAGTGTAGCGAAGCAGATTTCTGCCGGTAAACATGGTAAATTGGCATGTCTGACTTGAATCTGTTGCGAAATCTGCATGGAAAATATTTTTCCCTTATGTGAGGTTCCCGTTCACGTGGGTTCCTATTGAAATGGCTGGATTTTGTCTGCAAATATCCCTGAACAATGGTAAATGTGACGTGCTTTTACATTTGTCTTTCCTGTTACTTATTTGTTTCTCATCTATTGCCTCAGGAGGTTGTTGGAATCGTCGCTGTTTCCATTCTCTCGATATGATATGTCTGGCTCCAGAGATCATCCCATATACCCAGATCCTGCCAGGTACCTGTTTGAAAGCCTATATGTACAAAATCAAAGCTGATTATTGGACTTTAACTTCAGAGTTTGACCTTTCTTTTCCTCTTCCACATCTCCTCAGGCTGTCTCCAGCTGCTTACTATGCTCAGAGAATGATCCAGTATCTGTCTCGAAGAGAAAGCATACGCCAGCGTTCCCTACAGAATCGCCTACGGACGCTCTCAAACTCTCAAGCCGACAGCCAGTCAAACAATCCCTCCTCCATGCCACCAGAGGCCAGTGATGGAGACTATGAGGACATCGAGTGAGTCTGATAAAACTCATTGCATCCCCACTCATACATACATACATCTTTATTACTGTACGATTGCAATTACAGTTTTGTAAATCCTCTGTTCATCCGAGTGGTTTTGGATTTTGAGTAAGTGTTCAATATTTATTTTCGCTCTCGGTCACAGGGAGCCTGGAGACAGGACAAGACACAGAATGCCCCGCAACGCTCGAATGTCAGCCCCCTCTCTTGGGCGCTTTGTCCCACGGTCAGTGTCATATGTGACGTTTAACATAGCCTGTCATAAACTACTATTCAAAGGTTTATTGTTTAAAATGTATTTTGTGAGAAGTCTTGGGCTCACCAAGACTGCTTTTATTTGATCAAAAATACTGTAAAAACAGTAATATTGTGAAATATTATTACTATTTAAAATAACAGTTTTCTGTTTGAATATATTTTAAAATGTAATTTATTCATGTGATGCAAAGCTGAATTTCCAGCCTCATTACTCGAGTCTTCAGTGTCACATGATCCTCCAGATATCATTCTGATATGCTTATTATCATCAGTGATGAAAACGGTTGCTTAATATTTTTGTGAAAATTGTAAACCATTTTTCAGGGTTCTTTGATGAACAAAGTTCAAAAGAGCAGCATTTATTTGAAATAGAAATCTTTTGTAACAGTATACATGTCTTTACTGTTACTTGTGATCAACTTAATACGTCCTTGCTGAATAAAAGTATTAATTTCTTAAAAAAAAAAAAAATCTTACTGTCCATAAACATTTCAATATTAAGTGTCCCGAGTAAAGAGTAAAAAAAAAAAAAAAAGTAAATTCATTTTTGGATGAATTTTTTTTTTTTGGGGGTTTTTTTCTTTAGATAAATTAATAAATTAATTCAGATATCTGAGCAAATGTAATTTATTCATGTGATGCAAAGCTGAATTTCCAGCCTCATTACTCGAGTCTTCAGTGTCACATGATCCTCCAGATATCATTCTGATATGCTTATTATCATCAGTGATGAAAACGGTTGCTTAATATTTTTGTGAAAATTGTAAACCATTTTTCAGGGTTCTTTGATGAACAAAGTTCAAAAGAGCAGCATTTATTTGAAATAGAAATCTTTTGTAACAGTATACATGTCTTTACTGTTACTTGTGATCAACTTAATACGTCCTTGCTGAATAAAAGTATTAATTTCTTAAAAAAAAAAAAATCTTACTGTCCATAAACATTTCAATATTAAGTGTCCCGAGTAAAGAGTAAAAAAAAAAAATACAGTAATATCATTCTGTGATGATATTTTTGTTTTTGGTGGTTTCTTTCTTTAGATAAATTAATAAATTAATTCAGATATCTGAGCTTTTTCAGAAAAAAAAATTGTTAAAGGGGTCATATGATGCTGCTAAAAAGAACATTATTTTGTGTATTTGGTGTAATGAAATGTGTTTATGCGGTTTAAAGTAAAATAAAAAACACATTATTTTCCACATACAGTACATTATTGTATCTCCTCTATGCTCCGCCTTTTTGAAACATGTCGATTTTTACAAAGCTCATCGCTCTGAAAAAGCACCAAGAGCTTGTAACACTCCAAAGAGAAAGGAAAAAATGAAATCGCATCATATGACCTCTTTAACATGTTTGTGCTAATAATTTAGGGATGTTCATTTTAACCGGTTAACCGTTAACCGACCGTAAGAATTTTGACCGATTAATACAATCAGTTATTCGTTTTTTTTTTTTTCAGTAATTTATCAAAATATTTAAAAAGGTTTGCTGCATGGTTAAAATACGCTACACGTATAAAAAAATTTGTGTAAAAAAAAAAAGTCGCATTTTATTCTTTCATTCAGAAATAGGCCTAATGCCGACGCGAAATGTTTACAAACATTATAATAAACACTGTAAACATAGCTAGGCTATTTTAGTTCCCCTCACTTCACAACAAAGCCTTTCAATTAACAGTATTTAGAAAAGAACTAGAATTAAAAATATACGAAGCTATAGCAATATAAACGACAAGCCAAAACGAATTCATTTAGGCTAAAACGAAACTGAAACCAATGTTGGGTCTCTCATTCGACACAAAATCAAATGTTTCCATATTTGCGATGTATTTGAATGGCAAATTATTATTTATTATGTAGCCTACTTCACTCGCGTTCCAATATCCACGTAAAACAAAGTGTTTTTCATAACATCACGGCGGTACAGTGATAACACTTAACAGCACAGATTTTACTACATATTTAAACTGAGCAGTGTGTTTTTTTCCCATATGTTTGACTGACTATTTTATTATGATAATGAACAGGCTGCATTGTCAAGGTAGCAATGCTTAACTGTGTGCGCACATGCGGCGCCAGCACAATCACTTGAATTTTTTTCCTTCTAACAGTGGAAGCAACTAGGCCTGCTCCTTTTAGTCAAAAAGATAATCGGAATTGTAAAAGGTTTGCCTTTATTTGTGTACATTCACAATAAAAACAAATCTTTGTGCTTTTGTAAAGTAACCCTAAAGAAAAATAGGATGCCACTTTCTGCCGTCTGGTTTCCTTTCGCGCAGCACAAAAATGAACCGAAATTCTGCATACTAGGCTACTTGTTGCAATTGTTCTTTCATTTTCTTAATTTATTATTTAAGTAAAAATATATTTCTCGTATGGGCCTATTTATTCGTTATATAGCCTAGCTTTATTATGTTTTTCTCTGCTCGCAGAAGCGCTGCAGGTGCGAGATGTGATATGAAGACAATGTGAATCCTCATGTTCTGTTTGCTGCTTTTTGCGCATGTAAAATTAATCCCATGGAAACAAATGTTAGTATTTTTAACGGGTCACAGACACTTATACTTTCTAATTTAATTCAATTCTAATTTAAAATAATCTTGTCGGTTAACGGTTAATAATCGGTTAACGAGCGTCAGTTGTCGGTTAGGAAAAATAACCGAAATGAACATCCCTACTAATAATGCATGTTATGTTTTATTAATGTATACCTTCTTGATATGTATTTTTGTCTGAAGGAGGTTCCTGTTACCAGAGTACTTGCCTTACGCTGGACTCTTCCATGAAAGGGGTCAGTCAGGCCTAGCCACTCACTCTTCCATTAACCGAGTATTAGCAGGTACAACTTGCAGTTTTTCTATTTCTTGTCATTTCGTTTCACATCTTTCTTATTTTGTTCAATTTACGAAGCACTTTCAATCATTTTTATCCCATAATGTCAGAAACACAAGAATAGTGAATTTGAACAAACTGAAGAGAATTAAATCGATCTACCCATAATGCTCTGTTGCAGGCGCATCTATAGGTGATGGGCAGTCAGCTGTGGCCAGTAACATTGCCAATACCACCTATAGGCTGCAGTGGTGGGATTTCACCAAGTTTGACCTTCCAGAGATCAGTAATGGTACTACATTCTTCTGATTATTATTGTTTTTTTGTTTTTGCACACATAATCAGCAAGACATTATCGGAATATCGGTAGCTTGTTTCACTTGTTTAACTTCTTCAGAAGCTACAAAATGTTTGTTAATCTTATTGAAAACATTTTTTTTCTTGTTTTCATTTTAGCCACTGTGAATGTGCTCGTTCCTCACTGTAAGATCTACAACGATGCCAGCTGTGATATTTCAGCAGACGGGCAGCTGCTGGCCGTGTTCATTCCCAGCAGCCAGCGTGGTTTTGCGGATGAGGGCATCCTAGCCGTGTACTCCCTCGCACCCCATAACCTGGGAGAAATGCTGTACACCAAGAGATTTGGTCAGTGTTGTCGAACAGTAACTCAGCAGCTCATTTAGGCAGTAACACTCTGACCATTCCTGAGCATTCAAAAATTCTTCTTTGAGATTTGTTTTTAACCTGCATTTCAGGTCCAAACGCGATCTCGGTGAGTCTTTCACCCTTGGGCTGCTATGTGATGGTGGGACTGGCCTCCAGACGGATCCTGCTCCATCCCACCACCGACCACATGGTGGCACAAGTGTTTCGTCTACAGCAGCCACACGGAGGAGAGACCTCCATTAGAGTAAGAGTTTGAAAATCAAAGATGTCTGCAGTAATGTAAAATATAATTTATTTTACTACACAAACTGGTGTTTAAGGTGAGTTTTTTTCATAGACCCACCAAAGCTAATAAGCTATAAAAAGTGAGACAGTACTGACTAAACCTTTGTTTTTCTGCTTTCTGTGTTTGATGATCTGCTTTCTCTTGGCATCCTGCAGATGATGTTTAATGTGGTGTACCCCATGGCTCCAGACCAGAGGAGACACGTCAGTATTAACTCGGCCCGGTGGCTTCCAGAGCCAGGCATGGGATTGGCCTACGGAACCAATAAAGGTGACCTGGTCATCTGCAGGCCAGTGTAAGTAAACATCCAGCTAAAACAACAGACCATCTGGTCCACATTCATAGTCCTTAGCAAATTTGAATGTCTTAATCAAATCGTAAAAACTGAACGTTTTTATCCATAGCAAATTACAGTATATTTATTACAGGAACAAAATATTATGCCTAAGGAAACAATAGCTGCAAAAACCTACTGAACTGCCTTGCTGTTTATTGTCTACATAGGCAGCTGCCTGCTAAGGAAGCATCCTAACTGAATTAGAATCTCATAAGTGACCAATTACATAGATTGCAACACGCAAAGCACACAGGATTCATAACTGATTTCTAACAGTTTGAGTTAGCATGTCATTGCTAATAGCATGAAATTCTAGTATGAAAATGCATCACACAAATATTGGATAATATAATCACCTGCAACAATTTTTATTGGTACTATACATGTGTTTGCCATGGCTGCATATGGTAAAATGCTATTAATACAATAATATATAAGATATATTATTACAATTTAAAATAAATGTTAAAATTTAATTTATTCCTATAACGTCAGGCTGAATTTTCAGCATCATTACTCCATCATTCTAATATGCTGATTTCCTGCTCAAGAATGTTGAAAACAGTTGTGCTTAATATTTTTGTGGACTCTGTGATACTTTTTGTCAGGATTTTCCCCATAAATAGAAAGTTCAAAAGTACAGCATTTATTTGAAATAGAAATATTTTGTAACATTATAAACGGCTTCACTACTTTTGATCTATTTAATGCATCCCTCTGAATAAAAGTATTAATTGCTTTCCAAAACACAGTACTGTCCCCATACTTTTGAACAGTGGTTGATGGCATATATTTTTGATTAATTAATATAAAAAATTCACCATTTCTCTCATATTTAACATGACTGTAGGTGCGTTTCCATTACAGATTTGCGCAAAACTTTGGCGATATTTTCTGAATGTCGATAAAAAAAGTATTGCGAAATGACGGCGTTTCCATTAACCAATGTTATGCGGCTAAAACGTAACCTTTTGCCTCTCGCGATAAGTCACGGCAACGGATTTTGGTGGGATTTTGACGGATTTTGGCTATATTTATTCAAAGGAGGCTTATGCGTGTATCTTTACAGAAGCAGCACAGAGAGCCGCTTCAGAAACGTACGTGGCACGGCTGGAATAAACCATAGACTGTATAAAAACATTAACACAAGCTTTGAGTGGCCGTAATCAGCTTCAGTGACCGTATCAGAGTCACACTGCACCGCAGACGTGTGCAGTGTAAATTGTCTAAGTATTAATAGTAGGGAAAGCCCCTTATACTGGAGCGCGGCCACTTATGAAGTGTTTCTTGGAGATTATAGTATATTGAAGAATAAACATATGACTTTTTACATACGACATGTGACCTGTAAATGCGAGAAAGCCGTTTCCATTGCAGTTTTGCGAATTAATCCTTTTTCGCATTGCCTGAAAAACCACCTCATGCGAGCGTAAAAACTTTTTTGCGATATATGGTCATTTTTGCGAAATTGACGCGTTTCCATTAGGCGTATTTTCAATTCGCAATTTCAATTTTCGCAATTTAAAGGGTAATGGAAACGCGCCTTGTGATGCCTTAAAATATTTCCTCTGTAGCTAGCTTAGGTTTTTCAACAGAGCAAGTGATAATGATAGTTTGTGAATCGCTTCTACTTGGGATGGTACCAGTAACTTTATGGCTTCCAGCCCAGATCTTTTACCAGTACGCCACACCACCCAGCAAAACAAACAAAACCAGTGCCACCGTGAAGCACAGTAGCCATGGAAATTGCAGATAAACCAAACACAGTGTATCAGTGCAATGAAAACCGCATTTTTACAACCAGTAATTTCCCTAAACGTGTTCCAGAGCCCGTGTCAATATTGACTTGCTGAGTTAAACATGCCAAAGACTCGGAGAGTTGATTCATTATATGTCTGTCAGCAGTTCATCTTCAACAGTTGAATAGTCAAGCAAGTTCCTGATCCCAGATCAGTGTCAGTTTTCAGATACGTGGACTATATGAGGACTTTTGATAAACCACCATGTTACCTGAAGCCGCCTTTCATTAGATTACCTTCTTCATTAGTGGCAGGAAACTCTGGTGTTCAACTGGGAAGAAGCAATTATTGTTTTTTAACAAGGTTACAGGCCACATTACCCCTGCGCCCCATGACTTCTGCAGCTCATCGATTTCAAGGAATTCTCCTCCAATCTGATGGGTTTATAATCCGATCACAGCCCATGCGGACAGATGGAGTACGTCAAAATAATTCCATTGGTTCTTTGCAATTCAGTTGTTGAATTTAGTAATTTGGTCAAGTCTGGGTGTATTATTGGTCTTAAACGCACAATCCGAGATCTGCATGGTTCTTTGGAATACTTGATTCTGATTGGCCATTCTATAATCAGCTGTTTTTGTATAATGATGCTAAACTGTATAATCGACCGTGCTCTGATTCAACGGATGCCCTACATTGGTGTGCAAGATTGATGGATTGTATCATTCTGCAGTTTCCTACTTCTCACATGATAAACTATGATGTTTAATGTCCAATGTGTTTATTTATTTATTTGCTACTTAGCTGTGTAATAAGTGGGATAATGTATAATCAACCAGCCATTATCGCAAAATGAATCCTTTCGGGGTGATAAATAACCTGATGTGAAGCATACGTTGTCATTTACTTAGGTGTGTAAACAAGATAATGAAGTCTAAAATATCTGTTTTGTTGTCAGTGATTTCCGCAGTGATGGAGACAGTCCGCCGGATCTGAACTCGGATTCTTTGTTTACTGTCAGCAGCAGCAGCCGAACCCGCGGAGTGGAGCGCCCAGGGTCAGAAATGAGCTGAATCTGAAGTCACAGCTTGTCATAGTCATAGATCCTGAAATGCTCATCTGTGTTTATTTCTTACAGCACCAGCAGGTCCGGCTGGCGATTTGACCGAGACATGGGCCTTATGAACGCTATTGGCCTGCAGCCGCGTCAGGCCGCCCCTTCTGTGACCTCACAGGGGACGCAGACACCAGTAGTGCGACTGCAGAATGCCGAGACGCAGACGGAGAGAGAACATCCTTCAGCCAGCCCCTTCCAGAACACGCACACATCCAGACACAGTAAGACGTTTGTATAAATGTAATTTGCATAAAATCCACTTTTTTTTTTAAACGCAAGAATATACAGTAAAAAAAAAACTGGTTTAAAAAGTCTTTTTTTAAATAAACTAGATTATAAACTAATAAAATCAGTATATGTAATAATTTGTATTAATATGCACCAATATAACATGCATACAAGCTAAAAAGCAGTATTTCCCTACATATTCAGCAGGGTTCAAAAACTTTAGTTTTTTGCTACAAATCATATTATATATGTATAATATATATTTAAAAAATTATACTATTAGAATAACAATTTCAGTGAGAAGATGAACTAAACTCTGACACATAATTTCTTATTTTGTTTGACCCCTTTTTGCTTTCATGACACATGCACCAAAGATTTTTTCATAACTTTCGTTGTATTTTTTTAAAAGTTGTTGAATTTAGTAATTTGGTCAAGTCTGGGTGTATTATTGGTCTTAAACGCACAATCCGAGATCTGCATGGTTCTTTGGAATACTTGATTCTGATTGGCCATTCTATAATCAGCTGTTTTTGTATAATGATGCTAAACTGTATAATCGACCATGCTCTGATTCAACGGATGCCCTACATTGGTGTGCAAGATTGATGGATTGTATCATTTTGCAGTTTCCTACTTCTCACATGATAAACTATGATGTTTAATGTCCAATATGTTTATTTATTTATTTGCAGCAGTATTTCCCTACATATTCAGCAGGGTTCAAAAACTTTAGTTTTTTGCTACAAATCATATTATATATGTATAATATATATTTAAAAAATTATACTATTAGAATAACAATTTCAGTGAGAAGATGAACTAAACTCTGACACATAATTTCTTATTTTGTTTGACGCTTTCATGATTTCATGACACATGCACCAAAGATTTTTTCATAACTTTCGTTGTATTTTTTTAAAACCCTGACCCTTTTTTTTTTTTTTTTTTGTATTTACAGTATTAAATGTGATCTTAAACTTCAGATCTTCTATATATTTTTACTCAAATAAAAGATTTTACTGCATGGAAATACCTCATTCACTTGATTTTCTACTATGAACATTGAGTGAATTGAATCATTTTGATTTGATTCATTGAAATGGACTGTTTTAAGTAATTCAATTTAATAAATTGAACTTATTAATAGTTTTAGGATACTTAATAGCCGCATATTAAGATGTCTTATTTTTATGCTGCCAGCAAAATAATTTTTAATTTTCAATGTGCAGTAAATGGCCCAGATGTAATGACACTAATGTTAAAAAAAATCCCCGCGGTGAAGTGTCTTGCTCAAGGCCACAGTGATTCTAACAGATATCTATAATATATATATAATTTCATTTCTCTGAAACCATGTTAAGTAATAATGATTATGTCCACTCAAGAGCTGCAAAATGTGTTACTCTTGCAGCGGTTCAGACAGCCAGCACCAGCACTGAGAGACACACACACTCAGAGACGACACACACACTGTCGCACACACCGGTTCAGGCATCGGTTTCAGAGGGATCGCTGAACCGGACCAACTTGCCTGCCACATATCACGGTAACTGCTTTGTCTCACTTTTTCTCATCCTGTCTCTTCCGCCCTCATCGGACACAGGTAATGTAGTGAAATTGATTGAACTGATCTCTCTGAGATCTGTGTTGTGTCCTGCTGAGGGCTTTACACAGTTATTACTGTTTCAAGTGCTTTATTACCTGCTGTTAGCTGGTCTAATTAAATCTGCGCCCTTGTTTTCTTGATTTAATGGGGGACCCAGTGTGCACACATGGGGAGTTAATAGATAACTTGCTAAGACGTTGTTGTTTTTTTATCATTAACAAAAAATCTTATTTCACTGTATATTTCATTTCATATCATGATCACAACATAATTAATTTTGCTGGAAATTCAATGCAATAATATTTTTAGTTTAAATATGGTTTATTTTAGTTTTAAATAACCTGTTTTTTTTTAATAATCTAGTGAATTTAATACATCAAAAACAAAAGGTGCTTCATCTCAAGTGATTCTTTTTCTTTTTCTTTTTAAACTTGATTGATGCGACCCCAAAAAAATATTATTTATAAAATAATATTTTTATAGATTCACATTACTTAAAACTGAGTTGAATAACTGAGTTATTGAACTCAATAAATAAATAAGTTCTTCCTTGTCTTAATTCTGCTTTTGCATTGTTCTAGGGTTTGTCAGCAAGCAACAAAAATAAAAATTATATAAATAATATAAAGTAATCCTGCCCGCTAATGTTTGTGCATATATATGAAGCAATATAGCAAAACTCGTTTCATCAAGTCGCTATAGCAGCCAGTGAAATTTCTGAATAGATTTCCATAAAACAAACAACTTTCCATTTTCTGATTTTTTATTTATTTTTGTGTTTTTTTTACATATACGTGCATGCATTTGGCAGACTATTTTATACAAATCAACTTGCATTGCATTCAAAGTATACTTTTTATCAGTTCTTGCTCTCCCTGGAAATCAAACCCATGACGTTGGCGTTGCTATCGCTGTGCTTTACTGTTTGTGCTACAGGAAGGAATTTATAACGCAATCTGAATCTTTTGTTTGTTTTGCTGTTATCTGAAATGAGCATCTCACTGTTCTGTCTGATTTTTCCTAATAGACTCAGCAGCCGAGCCCAGCTCGGGAGAGGACGCGCTGTCTCGGATTCGCCGCCTAATCGCAGAAGGAGGAATGACAGCCGTGGTCCAGCGGGAACGCAGCACTACTATGGCCTCTATGGGTGGCTTTGGAAACAACATCGTGGTCAGTCATCGGATTCACCGTGGCTCTCAGACCTCGGTCAGGACAACTCGGGTGGGAAATCCAACCTCGGAGATGCCTGCTGGACTCGGTATTTCCACTATTTTTCACACTGAACCCTTAGTAGACTCAATAGAAGCTCCTGGGCCTTCAGGGTCGAGCAGTGTCCCACTTCCATCACCGTATACAACTCGTTCTGAGGTTGCGAGGGCATCTCCTATTGTTGAGATGGACTTGTTTGGCGATCGTCAAGTTGATGATGTGCAGCACCACCCATCCACGAGCGGTTTGAATATGTCCAACCATAGCAACAACAATAACAATGACCATAGCAACAGCTACAGTGAAAGCCGGAGCCGAGATTACCCTGATGACCTGTACGGCAGATAGTCCTAAGTCTGGTTTTCACAGAGACGAACATCTCAAAACTGGTCTGCATAGTGCTGGAGCATTTCATGGTGGATGCTTTGTTACACATAGAACATAGCATTTAGGGCGGAGCCACTGAACTTCTCGCCTCAGTTCTGACTCCTCCCACTCTGGCCTTATTTAGGATTGAAAGAGTGCCAAGTTTTTCATGGCATCTCCCTAACCGGGAGACGTCAGCCTCACCTTTTCTGTCAAAAAAACAGATTCTCGCTTTGGGGAAGCATCATTATTGCACTTGCGCTTTGCACTTAGGTTATAATTTTTCTTCCTTTCAAGGTTGAGTCTCAGACATTTTATCATTCCATGCGAGAAAGGGCAACATACTTGAATCCTTCCCCTACTGCAGTACGGAATTACATGGTTGTAGTTAACCACTCTTTCAAGCTCCAGGAAAAATGATCAGCCAATCGAAGTGCCAGACGTGGCTGCGATTCCTATGTCTGCATGACATTATGGTTTGAGGAACTGTAAAACCGTACAGACTCTTCACAGCGAAACACTAACTCTCACAGCATCCTCTAACGGTTTTTGCGTTCAAATTCAGAGATTATGCTTGACGTGATTGTTTTTTGTGTGCGATAAAGGGACTTTCAGTGGTCAAGTCATTCGGTAGATTGATCAGTATATAGAACAACGTCTGCCTTGAAGTTCTCAGACTGGAATATCCCACTAAACTTCCAGATGGCGAATTTTATGATGGTTTTTAATTTGAATTTATTTATCTGTCGTTTGAAAAATACACTTCTGAAAGCATGTCGTCTGTAATTGTCTGTCAGATAAAAAAAAAAAGCAGTTCAGGAACCCTCAAGCTGGTTCAGATCTCTCATATCTGCATGTGTGTCCAATTCCAGAGCTTTTATATGAGGAGGCGGGCTGAATGCAGAAGGCGGGGCTTAAGCAAATGAGCATGTAGGCTGTAGAACGCACATGCGCATCAAGTGACATTTTGGTACGCTGAGCGGGTTTTATTGGGCTTTTATACATTTGTGACCTTTAACTTGAGTGTATGAGTCAATTCGTGTTTATTGTTGCAATTTAACACGATGCATTTACTAATCCTACTGATGCGATTTCCCAGAAATACCTTAATACTCAGAAATGACATAAGACCATTAAAATGATTGTGCCAGATCATTTTCATGCATCAAATGCAACACTTTTTGAGCAATTTAGCCAATTCGCCATTAATTCACCTCAAATCATCTGATTGGCCAACTGTTCCATTCTACCAATCACAACAAGCCTCTATGATGCGCAAGCGACAAATGGCAAGTGATTGCACTTTAAGCACCCTTTTGTCCTTCCGAACTGCCCCGAGAACAGCGTTACAGACAATAAACCAGACATATCTCTATCATAAATCTGGATTATGACTGATAATCACACTTGAATATCCCATAATAGAGTATTTCTTGGGCACTGGACACTTAGGAGAGAGAGATGCCCATATATGCGCGCACACTGCTGAGTCACTGACGACGGGCACTGTCTGAATGTGTGGATGTGTATGTCTGTGAGTGTCTGCCACTAAACCTAGAGTGTTTTATTATAAATGTAGCATTGTAAATGTAGAGATGATAAATCGTGGGGAAAAAAACTTAAATCCATATTTCAGGGTGGGGTTTGGTTTTTTTTTATGACATACTTGCCTTGTGTGCTCTATTGTGCTTGATTAGATTCTCGTGTACGATTGGTCAACTCTAGTGATTTGAGTTGTCAGTGCATTTGCATATGCACAGGCCTTTCGTTAACAAGCATTTATATAGTTATCTCCCTCGGCTTTTATTTGTGTAAAAGATTTTGTTATTCTAGCTGCTTGGCTTGAATTAGTAGCTTTTTGTAAAAAGAGACAAAAAAAAAAAACCGTCCCCAATAGGAATGGTTTGTGTTTTGAACGTTTTTGGATGTAAGATTCTGATGGATTGTGGTCTCATCGCAAATAATGGCAGCTGAGGAACCTCTCAGAAACCACATACCCTTTGACGTTTTTCCATGAGTTCAGTGCCTTGGGGAATCTTCTCCTTACTGAACCACAAAAGCCGTTCTGAGGTGCGACAAAACCAGAATAGCTTCTTCATAAGCCTTTTGACCGTTGAGTGTTTTAGTTATTGGTAGAAATATTGGTAAATCTGAAGTCTGGTTGTGTTGGCTGTCATTTCGATTATTTATTTTACCCTTTGTGTGAATGACAAATGCAATCCTGATTTTTTTTAAAAAGCTTCTATGATAAGAGCGAAGGACCTTTTTACGTTATTCTCCATCAATGACGCATCTTTTCCTGATTTTACTCATTTCTGGCCATATGCACACCTTATTTTTATGAAGTAATTTCATGCAGGGTTTGTTTTAGATTTGTAGGCCTCCTGACAATTCATTTGTTCAGACGAGAATAGCTGATGGTGACAGAAAGTGTGACATTTTAAAGCTGTAATTGTGTTCTTGTTGGATGTGTGGTTATGTATATGCTCTCACTGCTGGATCGGTACCGTAGCGGTAAGTCATGATGGTGGAAAAGACCAGAATTCAAATTTCTCTCCTGACCAAACAAGAGGGATGTGTTGTTATGATTTACCATAAATGTGTAGTTGGTTCTTTATTTAGTGAAAATGAGGATTAGGTGTTGTAAAAGAATTTCGTGGGACACCAAAGATCCTGTGGTAATGACGATTATGAGAGTTTTAATAAAATGGGAATATGGAAATTAATTCAGTTGTTTTTTATTTGTTAAATTAAGTATTTTATTCATTTAAAAAAATATGCAGTAAAATACTGTACTACAGCGATGACAAACATGACAGAATAATGGGAATTACAAAAAAAAACAAAAAAACTTTGACATTAGCAAAACAAATATACCTGGACTAATACCTACCTAATTTTCCCCAAATTATATTTTTATTATTATTTAGCATATTTCAAAAATAATAATGATAATTTTCATGAGTTAGTCACATTTTTCCCACATTCTCCCTGAAAATGGTCGCAATTTAAAATAAATAAATAAAAGATCTGTAACAAAATGTGGTCATAAAAAATTGAGGAAAATGTGCTTATTTGTCAGTTTAATTGTCTTCAAGTTTCTTCTCATTATCTTATATATTGCAGTGTTTTCATGAAACTTACTCAGGTCCCTGCATCCTCATTACAACTTTTATCCATGTAAACATCTGTGATTTGTTGTAGTATGTGTGATATTTAAAATGTTAAAATAGAATCATAATAAAATTAAAAACATGTGAAACAGCTGTGGAGCTTCATTATAGGTCAGGTAATTAGATTCCATCTGTTGTGTAACTGCTGCCTTCCTCTTTAGATGACAGGAACTGCATTAAACATACATGCTTTAAAAAGGCAGCACGAATCTAGGAGGAATTCAGCAGTAATATGATCGTTCCACACTACTTTGATCATCTTCCAGTAAATTTAGTGTATTGATACAGCCCTAAGAGGATGGATGACTTGTTCCTGGTTATGTATTCGGAAGGTGAGGATGGGTGTTACTGTTTGAGGAATTAAAAGTCCTCCCAGTTGTTCTCTCGTTCAGATTGAGCAGCAGATCATGGAGACTGGATCTGTCGTTTTTTCGAGGGACTTTGAATCGTTCGTTTTCAACGGTAAGTTTGCTGATTGGATCATGTTAGGGTCATAATTTGTTTTGTCTAATTTATAGCTTCATTTCTATGTACAACCAGTTAGAGTTGTGTATTTTAGCATTAAAAGTGTAGTGTATATACTGTCTGTAGAGTTCAATTTCAAGTTGTTTGCTCATACGTCAAGTTAAACACTTCTTTACATCTTGATTTCTGATCAATTTCCGTTTTCTTGTCGCAGGTTCCTCCACAAGTTCCTCCATCATGCTCAACAGCAGCATGCAGAGTCCCTTGCCCGAAGAATCATATTTGGTGTTGGGAAGACCACGTCGTTCGTTCGGGACTGTAGGGGTGGTCGTCATCATACTTATCACTAGCTGCATCAGCCTGCTAACAGTCCTGGGCAACGTCCTGGTTCTGCTTTCAATCAAAGTCAACCGCAATCTCCGAACCATCAACAACTACTTCCTTTTTAGTCTTGCTTGTTCGGACCTTATCGTCGGTGTTTTCTCCATGAATCTCTACATTGTGTACGCCGTAAAGGGGTATTGGCCTTTGGGACCGCAGATGTGCGATTTGTGGTTGGTTGTGGATTACGTGGTGAGTAACGCCTCTGTGATGAACCTCCTGCTGATCTGCTTTGACCGGTACTTCTGTGTAACCCGGCCTCTGAGTTACCCAGCCAAACGTACCGCAAGGTGGGCTGGGGTGATGATTGCTGCGGCTTGGTTACAGTCTCTGCTTCTCTGGGCTCCAGCCATCCTGCTTTGGCAGGCTGGGAGGGACAGGAGCAAGGTCCCGGAGGGACAATGTTATATCCTGCTCCTCGACAACCCTGCCGTAACCCTGGCAACCACCATCCCAGCGTTCTACATTCCCGTTGTGATAATGATGATACTGTACACACGGATATCCCTGGCCAGTCAGAGACGGGTTCATAAGCTGAAGCCTGAATTCGCAAACCTGCTTGAACCGTCTAAGGCAAGTGGAGGAACGTCAACCGCAAACCCTGACCTAGTGATTTCCATTAAACCCAGTGAAACATGCTCATTTAAACAAGATTCAATGCTCATTAGAACGAAACGCCTTCCTTCTGTAGAGTTCAGCAAAACGGACTACTTCTTGGATTCAAGTCCTAATGCCTCTGCGGAAGACCAGGGGCTGGATGCAGAAACCTCGAGACCGAAGACCTTGACAGGGTGTGCAGAAACTAGCAGGACAATGCAACCTCACTGTCTTCAAAACCATACTACCATTCAGGTTCAAAGTCAAGCATCCAAGGTTGTCTCCAAGAATGCCAGACGGAAGGCTCATAGAGAAAGGAAGGTGACGAAGACCGTCCTTGCCGTTCTATTGGCCTTCATTGTAACTTGGACGCCTTATAGTGTTATGGTTCTGATTGGTACCTTCTGCCGCTGGTGTGTCCCTGAAATTCTGTGGATGGTGGGTTACTTTATGTGCTACGTCAACAGCACGGTAAATCCAGTGTGCTACGCGCTCTGTAACGCCACCTTCAAAAGAACGTTTAAACGACTGTTGATGTGCAAGTTCAGAAATCTGACATCAAAATGAGTCGGACTTCATTCTCTTATCAAGGACTCCTAGCGAACCAACGAGGAACCTGATTCGCTCAAATGTTTCGTGACTGTGAAGCTGTTTTACTAGAGCCAAAAGTGAAAAAAAGTGAAGTTGGTTGACGTTATTGATGTTTATCATGTTGCTGATATTGTTGTTTGCGAATGTATTCTTACGCCAACAGTTTGTGTAAATCAGTGCGATAGTTTAGAGAAGACACTGATTCTTATTTTGTGAGCATGATGCTGGTTTACTAGAGCCAAAAGTGTAAATAAAGTGAAGTATTTATCCTGTTGCTAATGTTGTATGCATTAAATGTATCGGAAAGTCATTAAGTTTGCAAATGCATATATGTAAATCAACTTACAAAACACCTCGATTCATATTTTTGGTGAGTGTGATGGTGTTTAACCAAAGTGAAAAGTAAAAATAAACGTTTGTAATTTAATATTCATCAGGGCACTATTATTGCATTTGTTCTACGAATTGTGTGGCACATTGGAAAGTTTTTTTTTTGTTTGTTTGTTTTTAAGTTACAGTTTGTAAGACTATTATTGTTTGCACAATAAATTGGTAAAAAAACAAACAAAATTGTGTAAATCATACTTGCATTCTTATCAACATTGTCAAGTTCTATAGTGTTACGAGTGAAAATTAATGTTATCACATCATTAAAATTGCATGTGCCGAATTTAGCACAATCTATTTGACATCATAAAGTAATTCCTAAGTTTGTCTTGAACAATAAATGTGTTTTTAAAAAAGCACCAGGAAGTATTATTGAAAATACACTTTCATTTATTCACAACCTGTAGAAGTAATCAGTTAGTGTTGTAAATTTGATTGTACATCCATCAAATCTAAAAACATAAACATTTATAAACAGATACTTTATATAGGCCGTTGCTTCCAGGAGCGATGTTCGTTTAAGCATTCAGCTTACATGTTATAAACGTACAGAAATAGTTTTCATTCGTTTTGTTGTAATTTACAAATGCTTTCATTTAGGGGCATAATTAGGGTCTCGGCAGTTTTTCTCTTTAGTAAAGACAACTTGTTAGACAACAGATTTGCTGCGGCCTGTTTTATACATGCAAAGTCAATTACAATTTAAAAATTCGCTACAGAGATCAAATTACAACAGCATAGACGCATACATTTACTAATTACAAAACGAAGAAAGTGGACGTAAAAACAATAGGTAGGGCTACAGTTTTTTTCAGCATTCACCTTTTGGAGGATTTGGGAGTGTCACATAGGAATGTACCACTGAGTGGGCAATTGGGCAGTTGGGGTGGTCTTCAAGTTAGTTTTCCTTCCCTTTTCCTTTCTTCTTCTCGCCTCCCTTGGGTTTGGGGGTCTTTGGGGTGCAAGGTTTGGACACTTTAATGGTGGTCTGGCATTCAGCGTTGAACAGTGCCTTCTTCAATGTCCCAGACCTGCTTCTGGTTCCTGTAGTAGTGTCACATTCGGCCCAGCGACCAAACTTGTACTTGCAGTCAGCTAAAAACCAAGAACAAACTAGAATGAATGGCCTGTCTAAATATATTTTTCTTTGATTCACATCCAGACATGCATTCGACGTATTCATACATGGTAAAACTCCTTACCGCCAAAGTCTTTCTTCCAGTTGCATGGGACTTTGCACTTGGTTTTCTTTGTCTGTTCGTTGCAGGTCGCCTCCCGAATGCCAGCGCCGCAGTCGCCGCTGTTGGGCACGCATTTCCCATACTGCCATTCACTGCACTCAGCATCTGCTTTGGGCTCTTTGCCCTTTTCTGTCACAAAATAGAGAATTATTATTAATGGTACCACACCAAAGGAATGTGCAGTGCATCATTTTAATTGGAAAAAAAGAACCTTTTTTCTTCATACTGGCTTCCACGGTGATCATCAACACCACCAGCAGCACAAGTGCTATAGAGAATAAACTCCGCATTCTGGGAAAAAATATAGCTGACATTAATTTCAGTTCAATTATGTGCTTGTAATGTGCTTTTGTCATTTTTATATTTTTTTATATTTAATATTTGTTATTTACTATTTTATATATATATATATATATATATATATATTTCTATTTAGCTTTATTTAATTTCAATTCTAGTTATTTTAGTTACAATTATTTCTATTACCTGCCAGGGCAACATTTCTAATTATCTTTTACATTTTTAAGTTTTAATCTAATAGTTATATTTCATTTGATCTCTGCTTTAAATCAATTATCAAAAACGTAGAGGACAGCATCCAACCAGGTGTCCATAATCATATCTGTTTATGTGAGTTCTTGCACTATATTATATGCTATATGTATTTAATATTTTACATATATATATATATATATATACATGCATACACCAACATAAATATATATTATGTTGTATTTGGTTGTATTTATGCTGCTCAAAAACATTCAAGTTTGATATATTAATTATATTTTGTCCTTTTGTTGTTTTCTAGGTTGGTTTAATTTGTTTAATTAATGTTTCACTGCAAACCGATTAATTCTGCTAAACCGATAACTAATCATCAAAGGTCCTCAGAAAAACCAAAACCGATAAAGTCAGATAATTGCACATCAGATATGAATGTTTTGTTTGTACCGTCTAAATTAAAGACACGGTGATAATATCCTCCGCCATCCTAGCAGCTCGCTGTGTGTGACTCCATAAAAGAGCCTCTCTATATGTTCCTCTTTCTCGCAAGAAAAAAAGCACACAGCACTTCTCCTTTTCATTCTTTTCCTGCCTCCATTAAAACAGGCTTCTTTCAAGGCGCAGCCCACGGCACGGCTCCATTCTTCAGTCACTCATAAATGTGAAGGGCTCCTCGGGGTCGGACTTTTTGTGTGAGGAGAAACAGCGGTCGGCAGGGGTCCCCCACCTCCCCTCCTCTCCTCTCCTCAGCCTCCACGGAGAGAGAGGCCAAGTCCTCAAAGACCTTCAGCTGGGCCATAGAGGAGCCTGATTCACTGGCTCCGAACAAAGCAGGATCTCGCCCGTTTTGCTTCCCTCTCTGAAAGGGCCCGAACACAGATCCCATGCTGTGTCTTGAGGAGGAGGGGTTGGCCTCCGATCGACTCCTTTGAATGTAAGCCTATTTGCAATGGAGGACAAAACCCGCTCTGTTGATGCAAGAGGGGACGTGGGATGCTGCCTTTGATAAATGCAGAACTGGACATTTTGAAAACTTCCTCAAGGAGCACAAAGTTCACCGTCGACCGCTGGACTCCCCAACCACAGGCTCTCTCGCATCTGGAGCTTTGTGTTCCGTCGGGATGAAATCGCAAGGCCTGATGGTTCTGATGTGGAGAAGTGGGTCAGCAGTTGCTGGCAGCTGGTCCTCTTTGGCACTTCACAGAGCATCATTATCCCTGACAGCGTTAAAGCGCCCTTGCGCACGCAAACACAAACTCCACGACTCTATTACAGCATGAATGCAACTGTTTAAAGCGACATCCGCCATTAAATCAACTATAATAAACAATTATATTCAATTTAATTAGCGATAGCTATAGTGTCGCCGTCCAATTAAATCTAATACTGACGCTGTTATTCTAAACTCATGGATTATTCTGATATTAAACGTAATTTATGCATTTTATAGTCCAAAAAAAATCGTAAAAACGTGCTTTAAATTAAACTCTTTATTGACGGTGCGTCCATACGCCTTTCTTACATAGGCTATATCATGTCATACTACTGTAACACATCATAAACACACCCAATACATTATATATATGCACACGTCCTATTATCGCACTTAAACGCAGATAAAAATGATAATATAAGCATATCAAAATAAATAATATAGATATTTGCATTATTTATCACCCACTAGTAGGCTATAATTCAAACGCGCAGCGTCGTGAAACACATCGACTGCAGTTTAATAATAGGAGCTGTTGGGTTATGATGGTGATGATGTACTTGCCTTATTGCTGTGAATATGATGCTGTGCTGTGAGCGTGTGTCTGTGTTCAGCTCTCTCTATGAGCTCTGCTGCTCTTTGTGTTTCTCCGAACTAGTTTGAGCTGGTCGCATAGCTGTGCACTTACGCTCACCCCCTCTCTCTCTCTCTCTCTCTCTCTCTCTCTCTCTCTCCCCCCCCCGATCTATCTATTTATCTATCTATCTATCTCTCCTCTTTCCTGTTGCACAGTATAATTATTCAGATGTTTGCTGGTAAAAATAAAATAAATAACATCTACTATAATATAATAACATTTTTGCAATTACTAGATTAATAAATAAATAATCAAAATTATGAAAATGCGAGACGAAATGGAAATGCATTAATACAATAATTGATACATTTCTTATTATTTATTAACTTTTTCTTTTTTTGGCACATTTTATACACATGCTTGCTATAAATAAATAAATAATCTAGTATATACATGTGTATATATATATATATATATACTACTATATACTTCTTATATATATATACTATATACTTTTTTTGCAATTATAAATACATAAAACAAAATAAATCGAATTTTAATAATGCAAAATTATGGAAAGGCATTTCTTTTTTTCAGTAATTATTTCTTTTACTTATTTAATACTTTTTTACACATTTTATACGCATGTTGGTAAATAAATAAACAACGTACTATAATATAATGAGCTTTTTGCTATTATAGATACATAAAACAAATAAATATACAAAATTATTATCATGCAAAATGAGGAAAATATATTTCTCTTATTTAATAAATGTTTTTCTTATATTTGTCACCTTTTGTTTATACACATCTACTTATGCTTGGTGGTATAAATAAATAACATCTACCATTATATAATCCTTTTTTGCTATTTTTTGCAATCTCTTTCTGGATGTAAAATCTTATTTTATTAGCTGTGTATTTTATTTGTTTCCTCTGGTTTTGTTTTATTATTTTTATTTGATGTGATTTGTTTTTAGGACCTTGTCCCTTTAGAATATCTAAAACATCTTGTATTGTTTTGTTTCTATTTTCCTACAATTATTTTTTTTAACTAGTTTTTTTTTATTTCATCATTTTTTTTATTCTGTCCCTGTGTGTGTTTTTAAGTGCTTTGAATTGCCATTGTGTAGGAAATCTGCTATATAAATAATCCAGTCTATCTGTATATTACATTATATGATTTCACCATGGATTCTCTATTCAGATGAGCTTGTGTGAAATGTTTCTTTGACTTACTATCCAGCAAACTTAAAATAAGCTGCGGTTAAACCGATTTAAAAATACATTTGCGTCCTCTCCCTATACTCCAGAAATGGAGCTAGAGCAGGAGAGAGAAAACAATAACCTTATCTCCAAAATGATAAATGAGTCACAAATGTCAACACATCCATCATTACCGGTAACTCATTCAGACATAAAGGCCTCCTAGGGAGAGGCAGAGTTCAGCATTATACACAGTTTACCACCCGGCACTCCAAACCCTGATGTGTTCACCAATGCACTCAGTCAATTAAACCTTATGGTAGAAGTACACTCAGTAAATAATGCAAAAACATAAACTTGTTTTTAAAGTGTTTATTTCTTTCTTTCCCCTCTATATGACTTTTCCTCTAACAAAATTCTTGTCTACTCTTATAAATAAAGCCTTATCTAAGTTCATATCACATACAAATGAAAGACCTTTATATCAGAACCGATTGTTCACACATTTTTAAAATGTTTGACGAATTATATACATGTGTAATCTATTTGGAATTGCATAGCAACTCATACGAAGCACTGACAAAATACATATTCTATCATAATGACATCTCACCACAAACACACTATGGCAATACAGACAACACAGCGTTGTCAAATGGCTGCTTTGTAAAAAGACCAGCTTTCCTGTCTCTTTTATTATTCAAGCATTTAGTCAACTGTACATGTACATGAAGTGACCAGGTTGAAAATACACCAATTTAAACCGCAGGCGATGATATAAATATATCTGTTACCCAGCCATTTGTCGCTGAAAATGTGATTTATCATCTTAAAACTACCAGAAGAATTTTCTGTATACTTAACGTGCTCAGTTTGGCCGGAAACCAAAACTAACAAGTTCAAGTTGCTGCATGACTTAATAAATTCTGTAAAGAACCTAAAATCACACTGGTGAGAGAAAATGTTCATTCAAAAGTATAGCAGTCAGTGCAAGCAATGCTAAGAGATACAATCCCATTCCTGAAGGAAACTTCATTCAATTAGGTGAACATTTATGGTTAGAAAATAACCAAAGGCAAATCTATTGACTGAGATATGATTACAATTTATAATATATGGTGAATAGAGAATTGATTTAATGCTATCTAAGGTAGTAATTAATGGAATGTTTTTACGAAATTCAAGCATTTACCACAGAGAGAGAAACTGGCCGTAAGCAACAGCTGAGGAAGCATTCTTAAACGCAGGAGGCTATGAAAACAACGTCTCTATCTCGAATCAGAACAAACACACGTGAAGTGGAAGCCAAGCTAGAGGAAGTTTCCAATGGATTACAGTCACATAAAATCTGTAAAATCATTTCAAATATCAAGTAAATGTAATCAGAAGCAGTGGAAACCTCTCCTGTTAATCTCTCGTGAGGTTTGTCTGGTTTTCTTTATAGTAGTTTAGTAAAAGCTACTTTCATACATGGTACTTCATCCCTGAAATTCCCAAAATCTTGCACATCGTGTCCTAAGGAGCAGAGTGGTGCAGTTTTGTGCGGCCCTGAAAGCTGGACGTGACGTAACAAACTCATGCATTCTGAAACATGACACAAACACTGTCGTCTTGGCATTACAATCAATACAGAGAGCAACAAGCTAATTTCCGCACATGTGCTGCCTCATAGCATCGCTAGCGTGTGGCGACAGGAGAGAGCAGATAAGACTCTGTGGTTTGGTGGTGGATGGAAAAGATGGTTCTAGAGGCCGGTCACACAGCCGTCTCATGGTCCTCCCTCTGGATCATCTGGTGGTGTTGTCGGTTTTCCAAGTATTCGGCCAACTCCATGTCTTGAGCTCGTTCTGCGTACATCTTTGGAGTTTCACTCTGCAGAATGACAGAAAGATATTTTCATTTATTTAATTAATTAATTTGTATTTATTTAATTAGAATTTATTTTTATTTTAAGAATGGCGGAATGATTTTAGGAAGGAAGGAATTAATAAATGCATACAGAATCATTTTTGCAATTATCGAAAAATAAAATAAACAATTATGATAATGCAGGAATATTATTATTAAAATACATTTCTCTTATTTAATGCAGTATTTCTATATTTATTTTTTCGCTACCTTTTATTGGTGTGTGGCTTTGCTAATCAAGTCCAATCAGTATAATCAAACACAGCTTGACTCAAATGAAGGTGTAGAACCATCTCAAGGATGATCAGAAGAAATGGACAGCACCTGAGTTAAATATATGAGTGTCACAGCAAAGGGTCTGAATACTTAGGACCATGTGATATTTCAGTTTTTCTTTTTTAATAAATCTGCAAAAATGTCAACAATTCTGTGTTTTTCTGTCAATATGGGGTGCTGTGTGTACATTAATGAGGGAAAAAAATTTACTTAAATGATTTTAGCAAATGGCTGCAATATAACAAAGAGTGAAAAATTTAAGGGGGTCTGAATACTTTCCGTACCCACTGTACATGCTTGCTTTTCTACTATAATATAATGCAATTTTTGCATTTATAGATAAAACAAATCAACAAAATTATGATAATGTAAGATAAGGGAAAGACATGTTTCTTATTTAAAGGGGTCATATGATGCGATTTCAAGTTTTCCTTTCTCTTTGGAGTGTTACAAGCTCTTGGTGTATAAAGAAGATCTGTAAAGTTGCAAAGACTAAAGTCTCAAATCCAAAGAGATATTCTTTATAAAAGTTAAGACTTGTCCCCACCCTCCTAAAACGCCTCGTTTAAAATGTCACTGTGTGGGAAGATTTGCATAACGCCGCCCAAATGTTCACGCAAAGAAAGAAGGCGTAACTTTTATTCTCGCTGTAGTATTGTTGTTGCCGCCGCAGCCATGTCGTGAAGACGCTGTGTGTTTCGTTGTGAAAGCTTTGTTTGGTCTTCCAAAAGAAGACGATATCCGCTTCGTCATGCCTAGAGCTGATCCATGCTGGTAGCTGAGGAATACATCAACTTCGAGCTGTGGATCGCCGGATTGGCTTTCACCGAGGATGAAGCGGAGTCCAGCCCAGGGTCGTCACATGTGGTTGCCGCAAGCCCGCCGGCCGCGCCGTTCTCAAGTCTGCCGGCCTCCACTCACTCAAGCCCGCAGTGTGTGACGCTGTGTGACGCATTTTATGGAGGACTGTTTCCTAAACCTGCAGAGTAGCCTACAATGGGTCTGTGCTCAAAGGCTGTTCCAAAGTGGGGCAGTTCCAACTTTGCAAGGACAGTCTGGAGCTTCTGACTCACAAGCCTCTAAGTAAATTTTGTATATTTCAAGAATTTGCCACTGATGATTCAAACGTGAGTTTTGAGCAGTGTAGAGTAGCGCTTGTTGTTTGTCGTTTCTCCGATCACAAATGCAGACATGGTTTTATGTTTACGCCGCGCGATTCGCAGCGCAACGCGTAAAAACACAGTATAAGTCATTATAATCTGTAATTATGTCCCCACTGGATGCAACGAATGCCTCGTTTGCAATGGGTTTTTTTTGGTTTTGTCTCGTTGTGCCCGGGAGACAGCATCACAGTATGTTAAGGGGCGTAACATTTCCGTCACACGCTTGAGGTATTCAGCCAATCGCAATGCACTGGATAGCTGGCCAATCAGCGTACACCTCGCTTTTCAGAACGATGAGCTTTGTAAAAATTGACACGTTTCAGAAAGGCGGGGCATAGAGGAGAAACAATAATGTACATTATGTGGAAAATAATGTGTTTTTTTAACCTTAAACCGCATAAACACATTTCATTACACCAAATACACAACATAATGTTCTTTTTAGCAATGTCATATGACCCCTTTAATGGCGTCCCGGGTTGCGCCGGAGGATTATGTTTATTCGGAACATTTGACTGCAGATTGTTTTGTAAACGA